ATCAACAAAAAAATGGAAACAAATCAATGTACACAATTTATAGCATTTAGTATTATTGTGTTAAATGTGCTTCCATTTTATTCTTGGTGTGGGTGCACTTGGGGCTGATAAAAAACATATTTTGTACTATAGGTTGTGGTCGAAAATTTTGAAATCCACTGCTATGGCCAATACTTAAATACCTTTCTTTCGTTGCCTCATTTACAGATACTATCTACAAGGAAATCTGGGGGGCATCCTTTGTGTCTTTGTACACATCTGGCTCATAGGGAGATATTTTTCTTTTAATAGGGAATTTAAATTTGTCTCACTGTAGCTTGAGCACCTTGGTTTGTGTCTCAGCCTTGCCACATACTGGTCATAAGATCTTGCTCAAATCATTTTACCTCTTTAATCCAAAATTTTTCTTATCTGTAAAAATGGCAATATTTTTAATAACAGATCAATATTTTCCATACCTATTATGAGGGTAAAATTGATTTTTTAAAATAGAAGGCATATTAAAAACTCCGAAGATTTTACAAACACTATTCTTTATAACCCTTAAGTTTACCTTAAACAAACCTAATCTTTTGTTGTCAACCCTTCAGATATTTTAGGAAGCTATTATGAATCTTCTGTCCTCAAGATGAAACTCCTTGTTGGCTCAACTGCTCTTCACAAATGCATACTTTTGGAGTCCATACACCACCCTGGTTGCTCTCTTCAGAGTACACTCCTGTTTTGTACATTTATTCTATTTTCAACTGTATGTTGATTTAAAGTACAGCATGCAACATGAAAAATAACATGCACGCGATGAGAGGAGCTGTGTTAGGTGAAGGAGCTTATTGATGATTTCTCTGCCTTTTCAAAAATTGAGTTTAATATTGACATACACCCTATTTTCCATAGAAATAAAGTAGTGTGTTCAGGTAATTTCAAGTGTAGACTAGTAATCTCAAAGTGTAATGGAACAATTATATCCCTTGTTCAGGAGACAAAATTGCCCCTAAAACCTTTTTTTGTTCTGTTTCTTCGTGGCATATTTTAAGCTTAAAACCCTAAAGGTTTGTTTTGTTTTGTTTTGTTTTTAAGTGCCTGCTTGTGAGCCCTATCTCCTCCATCCTGGCTTTAAGCCATTGGTTTTTTCTGACCTAAGAAACGCACTTAACATTTGTCCTTGTTTAATTTCATCTTGTTAGATTCAGCTCATTGCTCTGGGCTGTCAAGATCATTTTTCATCATATTCTGTCATGCAGTCATCTGCCTGCTCCTCCCAGTGGCTGGTCACCCACAGGCCAGAGGTGCATGCCCGCCACACCTTTCTCACACAGTGCTGGCGGGAAGCCATAGGGAACCCCTGTCCAGGTGACATGACAGAGCTGACAGCATCCTTTAGGGGACGTTCTGCAGCCAGTATAGAGTGTATCTAGTTGTCTTTGTGTTATTTTAACCAGTTTTTCTGTATATGGTCCCTAAAGGTAATGAGAAATAGGCAGCTGATTATGTTTACCATTTTTACTTATCTGCCAGGAAGCTCAGAGTATGGGCCAATGGTCCATTTTTAATGGGTCTAAGCCACTTTTAAAATCTAGTAAAAATAAAATAGTAATACATGATATATTAGGGTTCTCCAGGAAATAAAACCAACAGGAGATAGACAGATGTAGATCAAGATGTGCCTATATAGAGAAATATAGTACTCCATTCCTATCCGTGGTTTCATTGTGGTTTTAGCTATCTGTATCAGCCATGGTCTGAAAATATTACATGGGAAATTCCAGAGATAAACACTTCATAGGTTTTAAGTGTGCCCTGTTCTGAGCATGATGAAATCTTGTGCTGTCCCACTCCATCCCACGTGGACGTGAGTCATCCGTTTGTCCAGCATATTCATGCCATAGACACTACCTACCCATTAGTCACTTGGTGGCCATCTCAATAACCAGATCAACTGTCACAGTATTGCAGTGCTTGTATTCAAAGAAGCCTTATTTGATTTCATAATGGCCCCAAAGTCCAAGAGTAGTGATGCTGGTAATTCGGATATGCCAAAGAGAAGCTGTAAAGTGCTTCCTTTAAGTGAAAAGAAGAAAATTCTCAATAAGGAAAGAAAAAAAAATCATATCCTGAGGTTCCTAAAATCTAAGATAAGAATATATCTATCTGTAAAATTGTACAGAAGGAAAAAGAAATTCATGCTAGTTTTGCTGTCATACCTCAAACTATAAAAGTTATGGCCACAGTACATAATAAGTGCTTAGTTAAGATGGAAAAGATATTCAATTTGTCGATAGAAGATGTGAGTAGAAATATGTTCTGATTGATGACAGTAAGGTTCGGTACTATCTGTGGTTTCAGGTATCCACTAAAGGTCATGGAATATATCCCCTTGGATAAGGGGGAACTACTGTATAAATAGAGGTGGAGATGGAGATGGAGGTAGAGATGGAGATAGAGATGGAGATGGAGATAGAAATAGAGATAGAGAGAGATAGAGATAGAAGTATAGGTATACCTCCTTTTGTGCTTTGCAAATGTATTTTTTACAAATGGATGGTTTGTAGCAACTGTGTGTTGAGCAAGTCTATGAGTGACAGTTTCCAATAGCATGTGTTCACTTCGTATCTTTGTGTCACATTTTGGTAATTCTCACAATATTTCAAACTTTTTCATTATTATTATATCTGTTATGATGATCTCTAATCAGTGATCTTTGTTGTGACTATTGTAATTCTCTTGGTGCACCATGAACTGCACTCATGTCAAATGGCAAACTTAATCAATAACTGTATCTGTTCTGACTGCTCCACCAACCAGCCATTCCCCCATCTCTCTCCTTATCCTTGGTCCTCCCTATTCCTTAAGACATGAGAATATTGAGATTAGGCCAATTAATAATCCTACAATGGCATTTAAGTGATCAACTGAAAGGAGGAATCAAAGGACTCTTTAAATCTAAAAATGATTAATCTTAGTGAGGCAGGCATGTTGAAAATTGAGATAGACTAAAAGCTAGGCCTCATGCACCAGACAGCCAAATTTCAAATCCAAAGGAAAAGTTCTTAAAGGAAATTAAAAGTGCTAGCTACTCCAGTGGACACATGAATGATAAGAAATCAAAACAGCCTTATTGCTCATATAGAGGAAGTTTTAGTGGTCTGGATAGAAGATCAAACCACATCATTCTCCTAAGCTAAAGCCTAATCCAGAGAAAGGCCCTAATGCTCTTCAATTCCACGAAGGCTGAAAGGTGAGGAAGCTGCAGAAGAAAAATTTGAAGCTAGTAGAGGTTGGTTCATGAGGGCTAAGGAAGGAGGAGTCATCTCCATAACATAAAAGCACAAGGTGAGGCAGAAAGTGCTGATACAGAAACTGCGACAAGTTATCCAGGAGATCTAGAAGATAACTGATGAAGGTGACTCCACTGAACAACAGATTTTCAATGTAGGCAAAACAGCCTTCTATTTTAGGAAGATGCCACCTGGGACTTTCATAGCTAGAGAGGAGAAGTCAATACCTGGCTTCAGAGCTTCAGAAAGCAGGCTGACTCTCTTGTTTGGGCTAATGTGGCTTATGACTTTAAGTTAAAGTCAATGCTCATTTATCATTTGAAAATCCTAGGGCCCTTAAGAATTATATACTAAATCTACCCTGCCTGTGCTCTATAATGGAGCAATAAAGCCTTGATGACAGCACTTCTGTTTAAAGTATTGTTTACTGAATGTCTTAGCTCACCGTTGATACCAACTGCTCAGAAAAAAAATATTTGTATCAAAATATTACTGCTCATTGGCAATGCACTCAGTCATCCAAGAGCTCTGACAAAGATATGCAAGGAGATTAGTGTTTTCATGCCCGCTAACACAACATCCATTCTGTGGCCCGTGGATCAAGGAACAATTTCCACTTTCAAGTCTTATTATTTAAGAAATAGATTTCACAAAGTTATTGCTGCCATAGATTGTGATTCTTTTGATGAATCTGGGCAAAGTAAATTGAAAACCTTCTAGAAAGGATTCACTATTTTGGATACCATTAAGAACATTAAAGATTAATGGGAGGAGGTCAAAATATCAACAGTAACAGGAGTTTGGAAGAATGTGATTCTAACTGTTATGAATGATTTTGAGGGTTCAAGACTTTACTGGAGGAAGTCATTACAGATGTGGTAGAAATAGCAAAAGAACTGGAATTAGAAGTGGAGTCTAAAGATGTAACAGAATTGCTGCAATCTCATGATAAAACTCTAATGGATGAGGAGTTGCTTCTTATGGATGAGCAAAGAAAATGGTTTCATGAGATGGAATCGGCTTTGAACATTGTTGAAATGATGCCACGGCTTTGGAATATTACATAAAGTTGATTGATAAAGCAGAGGCAGAGTTTGAGAGGATTGACTCCAATTTTGAGAAGTTCTACTGTGGGTAAAATGCTATTAAACAGCATTGCATGCTATAGAGAAATCTTTGGGGAAAGGAAGAGTCCATCAATGTGGCAAATTTTATTGTCTTATTTTAAGAAATTGCCACAACCACCTCAGCTTTCAGCAACCACCACTCTGATCTGTCAGCAGCCATCAGCATCGAGGCAAAACCCTCCAACAGCAAAAAGATCATGACTCGCTGAAGGCTCAGATGAGTATTAGCATTTTTTGGCAATGAAGTATTTTCATATTAAGGTATGTACATCATTTTTTTAGAAATAATGTTATTACACACTTTACAGACTGTAGTATAGTATAAACATAACTTTTATATGCACTGGGAAGCCAAAAATATTGTGTCACTCTATTGTGATGTTTGCTTTATTGTGGTGATCTGGACCCAACCAAACCTGCTATACCTCTGAGTTATGCCTGTATAGATATAGAGAAAGAGGTTGGTTATAAGGTATTGGCTGATGTGATCTTGGAAACTGAGAAGTTCCATGATCTGCTCTCTATAAGCCAGAGACCCAGGAAAGCCAGTGGTGTCATTTGAAGGCCTGAGAGTCCAAATAGATTTGGACTTTGAGCGGTATAGATTGCAGTTTGAGCGCCAAGGCCTGAGAATCAGAATCTCTGAGGGCAGGAGAAGCTCAATGCTCCGGCTCGACAGTCGGAGAATCAGTTCAACTGTTCTCAGCCCTTTTGTTCTAAGCAGGTCCTCAGTGGACTGAAGGAGGCCCCCACACACTGGGGAGGGCAGTCTACTCAGCCCATCAACTCAAATACTAATCTCTTCCAAAAACACCCTCACAGACACACGTAGAGATAATGTCTAGCCAGCTATCTGGTTTCTGTTGACACATAAAATTAACTATCACGAGTGGTAAAAGCAGAAAAAATAACTATTGGGTACTGGACTCAATACCTGGGTGATGAAATAATCTGTACAATAGACCCTCATGACACGAGTTTAACTATGTAACAAAGCTGCACATGTACCCCTGAACCTAAAGTAAAAATTGAAGAAAAAAGAAAAGCAAAATATACTAAGGACTATCATATAAGAATTTTGTATAAACTTAAACTATTTCAAGTAGTATTTTCTGCTTACCTATAGATTCTTCCAGCAGAGACGTGTGAATTGGGCTTTGTGGGGGAAAGTGCAGGTGCTTTGGTGGGAGGAGTAGAACTTATGCTAATCGTTGCTGCTCCCCTATCTTGTGAGATAGGGAAACGAGTCAACATGGTGTTTAGTGAAAAGATGATGTTAAAGAAGTTTCATTGGCTTGGCCTATGGTAGACCTTCTGTTAAACTCTTAAGGGATCTATTGCCATGTGGATTTTGCTCACGTTACTGAAGGGTTTTTATGGGAACAAATTGTTAAGCACTGAAGGGGAATTGGGAAATCTGGTATTTCTACTTCCAGCTTTTCTAGACTGCTTGCTGGATGGTTGGAAACAAATGATTAAATTCCCTGAGGTGCCTCAAACTCATTAAGCTGGGGCCACTCACATACTGGCAGTGTGCTAAGAGGGCTCCTGGGATTCTGTGTCACCAGGCAGTTTGCTCCCAGGAGAACTGGCTTAGATCCTAGCAGTAAGTGCTGGCGTAACGTTTCACGGCTTTGGGGTGCTGCCCGAGAAGTTGACTCTATTGCTGTTTCACAGGAGGTGGTGAAAGAGGCCTGTCGGTTTTAGATGTCTGTTTAGTAAAAGAAAGGGCTGTGATGGCAGACTTGCAGCTGGTTTGAGGGAAATGTGGATCCAGCTCTGGAGCTGAGTCTTAGAGCAAAACAAGGAATCGGTCCTGCAGAAATGGTCCATGAACGTGAACCAGAGAAACATTTTTGGAGTTTGGTATTTGCAGGTTCCTTGAAAAAATGTTTCATAATTAAAAAGTTTGATGAAGGACTTTCTCATTCAAAGATTTTAGTATTTCCCCATTGCCAAGGGAGAGTGGGGACTAACCAGACAATTAGCTGCTTCTTGCTGCAGAGTGGATGAGAGGTTTGGATTGCCTCTTTAAAGGAGAGTAAACCCTGTTTGTTGTGACTGCTTCTGTGATGGGTGATCAAAGGGCAGTGTGGACGGTGAGAAAATAAAGGATGACATTTAGATACTCAACCATAATGCTGCATTCTTTACTTTTAAAAAGAGAGAGAAGGAAGAAAAGAAAATATATCCTTACAAGTTTTAAATGTTCTTTAATTTGAGAAAACCTGCCATGGATGGAAGGAAGGACGAACATTTGACATTGTTCAATACTGAGGACTCCTGAAGTCCAGTTACCCTGAACTAGCTTTTACCTTCTTGATTTGAAGTAGTGGGTCCCAAAATCAGTTTGCCTGCTTCTGGTAGGTTTGCAGGGTTAGGATGTGAGGTCTGCAGAGAAAGAAAGTTTCGGCTAGATTTCTTACTTACTCAGAGTGGCCCTCCAAACCCTGGTCCCTGTCAGAGAAGCAGGAAACCAAAGTCTTGTCTCCCATCCTTAATTAGCTTTTTGTAACCATCCCACATCACTTTTTCTGTATATTTCCATGTTCATGACTATACAAAGGCCATTGTAACAGCTTAGAAGTTAGGGGCACAGGCTCCAGAGCTACTGTGCAGGGGTTTGAAACTTAGCGCCTTCATTCATGGGCAATGTGACTTCAAACAAGTTGCTTTAATCTTTCTGTGCCTTACTTTTCTCATCCGTAAAGTGGAAATGGAATTAGAACATATTTTATACGATCATTGTGAGGATTAAGTGAGTTCATACATGTTCAATGTTAGCTGTGTGCCTGGCACATGGTAAGAGTTCAATACATGGGATCTATTATCCTTGGAAAGGTTGGAAGAAGGATGCATTAAAATAAGTGGAACACATAGAGTTCTGAACAGAGAGATCCATGTACCTTTGTCTTCTTTAGCGTAGGTCTATGCTACATTATTTCACAGATAACTTACGATGTGCATAGTGCTGTGCTATGCATCCAAGCTTGGCAATTTTAAGACAATTCCTACCCTCCAAGGATTTAGAGCTAGGTCAGTAGGAAAGATGGCAGGCTTAAAGCTGATCAGCTGCAATCCAGGGCAGTGTATGGGATCAAGTGCCTACACAAGGATAATGGGTATGCATGGTATAGGATCCTAAAAAGATACTATAAAACATTCATATATGTATAATAGAAGTCCCCAGAATTATTCAATACCAATCTTTGAGGCTCATTTTTGCATGCAGTCACAAGATATGAATGTTTAGGCTTTGAAAAGGGAAAAAGAGCCTCTTAATCAACTCCAGGTAATGCTTTTTCTGTCTTGCTGTAACAATACATGATCATATTTCTCTGATCATTTATCTCATTGTTTTGCAGTTATCTACTGATGCACTACTCTCCTTTACCACCCCTGGAGGGGTGAAGACTATGTGTTACTCATCTTTATATCCCCTGCCTGGAGCCCATGGCCTGCACTTAGTAGGCATTTAATAAAGGTTGGCTGAAGGAATGAAGCAATGCTCAGAGTACATTTCCAGCGTAACTAAAATTGAATGCCACCAACTTCCCTCTTTTGGACATAGATTATAGTTTATCTGTCCAGACTCCCTAAATGCCAATTTTTGACCCCTCCTTTGCCTCCATACAAATAGTCTCCAAGTCTTACTTCCATTTACTCTCTCAACATCTCAGTCCCCACTATCCTATGTCAAATGGGCCTCATTTTATGTCTGGATAATTACAACAAACACAGCTAGTGTTCACACCTTTGTTTAAGCTCTCTCTTGCTTTGAATATACTGTTACCCATCTCCATCTATCTAAACTCCAACTAACCTCTAAAATCAACCATATTTTCCGGATTCTACTTGAAATATTCTGGTATCCCAGACTCTGGTAACCTGGCTTTTATCTCTCTTCTGATCATAGCTTGTTTACTGCTGTGCATCACTGCTAGAGCATCTAGTCCTTACAACATCTTTGTGAGAAATCTAATAGTCTCCCCATTTTGCAGGTGGTAAAACTGAGGCTCACCAGCATTAATTTTCCAAGGTCACATAACTAGTTTGCTGTCTGACTTCAGAGCTCTTTCTTCTGTACCTTGCTACCTCACCCCAAGTAAAATGTTAGCTCCTAGGGAGAGGATCCTGCCAATACTTTGTCAGCAGACTCTCTTGCAAGTTGCTTTACAAATAGTAAGAATTCAAATGCTATTAATTAGCTTTAAAATCCTGTTTGAATGTACTGTTCTTGAACAGGGATGATGAAGGAGAGGATTATTGGGTAGAATAAAAGCACTAGGCCAGGCACAGTGGCTCACACCTGTAATGCCAAGACTTCAGGAGGCAGAAGCAGAAGGATTGCTTGAGCCCATCCAGGAGTTTGAGACTAGCCTAAGCAATGTGGTGAAACTCCATCTCTACAAAAAATATAGAAATTAGCCAGGAGTGGTGGCATGTGCCTATAGTCCCAGCTACTCAGGAGGCTGAGGCTGGAGGATCACCTGAGCCTGGGAGTTGAGGCTGCAGTGAGATGTGATTGCACCATTGCACGCCAGCCTGGATGACCTTGTCTCAAAAGAAAAAAAAAAGGCACTCAACTTTTTTTTTTTTTTCAATGGCAGAAAGTGCACAGTAGCATGGAGGATGACACAAAAGTCAGCAGACCTGCTAAACCTATGTGAATGACCATTGACTCCCCACTTTCATGTAGAGTTTAAAGAGAATCGTGAGTATTTTTCTCTTACATGGATTATCCCAGCACTCCGGAAATCTTTAGGTATTTTAAAAACATCTATCTAAACATTAAAATGCTTATCACAATGATGATACTGGAATAGCAGATTACTACGTAAAAACACCAGTCAATCTCAGCAGGAAGTCATTACCAAGGTAGGAAAAACGTTTGGATAGGAAAGGCTGTTCATGAGTTACCAAAGCCATGATCTTCATCTCCAAGATCTTTGAAAATGAGGAAAATGTCCACTTGTCTGCTGGAGTGAAGGAGCAGGAAACAGGACTAGAATAGTGAGCTCAACAGATTACTCCTTCATTTGCAAACTTTTCCAAGGCAGACTCTTAAACCAGGAGTGAGTGTGGGATGGCATCAATGCAGGTTATAATTATGTGCTAGACTTTAATGCATTCCATCTCAAGATGTTTTAAGAGTAGCTCATTCTTATGCCTTTATAACTAAAATAAAACCTTAAAAATATGTATCGTTTTCTTGCTGGAAGAAATTGAAGAGATTATTTAATTCAAACCTTTTTATTTTATACCTGAGGCAACCCAGAGAAGTTAAGTGATTTACCGAAGGACACAGAGTATCTGATTTATAACCATAAAACCCACCCCAAGACTTTCCCTTGGTATGACATTAATATAACTGTTCTACTCAGGGCCAGGGGATGTTAATGTAACAGATTCAGTCACGTTAATATATCAAGTCCAGCCAAATTGCAAGTGTTAGATGACCTCAAGCAGATTCACGAAAAAAATTTTTAAAAAAAGCAAAAAGCAAACAAAACACAGTATTTTCTTGCTTTCCGGGTGCACACAGCTGGGTCTCCTTCTTGTGGGCCGGGATTGGAGGCCAACTCACTGCTCTCTCGGGCTTTGGGCTTAGCTCATGGTCTTGCTCACAGCCACGCTCTCTCACCGCCTCATCTCCATGGTGGGCACCAACCCTGTCTGTGGCTCAGCCAGCTTTCTCTTTCCCCACACAAAACAGGTATTGAGCCCTTCCTTTGTCTCACACCTCATACTAAGTGCCAACTGCTTATTATTTATTACCTCATTGAAACTTCACCAGCACTTCGGGATGCAGGTACAGGAACTGCAGTTATCCTCATTTTGTAGAGTATGTTACAAAGCTATTCTACGGCAAAACTGTAGGGAAAAACCTTACCTATCACTGCCTGAATGCTGTGGGAACTTTTGGCAAGTTACAGAAACACTGTGACTCAGTTTCCTTATCAATAAAATGAGATAATAATAGTGCAGACCTCATTGTGTTGCTGTGTCGATGAGGTAATTTGCCAACTAGCTGACTAGAATAGTGTGTAGTACTATGCAAGCACTGTATAAATATGCTGTTATGTTTAGTTACCATCCTATCCCCTCAGTGCTTCTTACACATCCTGCACGTGTACAATATGGCCCTCAGATCTGAGCCCACACCACAACCTGTGGCTCAGCCACCTTCCTTCATATAGATATGGTAGCAGCTTACCCCATGTGGCTCCTGAGCACTGGAGATGGGTCTAGTCTGAATTGAGATGTGCTGTAAGTGTAAAATACCACTGGATATCAAAGACTCACTGTGAAAAAAGAATGCAAAATATCTTTTTTTATATGCTGATTGCATGTGAAATGTTTTCAATATATTGAATTGACTAAATTTATTATTAAAGCAAATGTCATTTGTTCCTTTTCATGTTTTTTAAAAATAAGGCTAGTCCAGTTTTTTTTTGTTGTTTGTTTTAGAGATAGGGTCTCACTCTGTCACCCAGGCTGGAGCCCAATGGCGCAATCCCAGTTCACTGCAACGTCCACCTCCCAGGTTCAAGCAATTTTCCTGCCTTAGCCTCCCGACTAGCTAGAACTACAGGCACGTGCCACCATGCCTAGCTAATTTTTGTATTTTTTGGTAGAGACGGGGTTTCACCATGTTGGCCAGGCTGGTCTTGAACCCCTGACCTCAGGTGATCTGCCCGTCTCAGCCTCCCAAAGTGCTGAGATTACAGGCATGAGCCACTCTGCCCGGACTAGAAAATTTTAAATTGCTTGTGTGACTTGCATTCTATGTCTGTTGACCAGCGCTGGTATAGAGTAGCCTTCTATGTGTTCTCGGTCAGATTCCCAGGGAGAGTTTCTGGCTCAGCCCTGAGTCAGCAGAGCCCTCCTCTGTGATGAGTACCCACCCTGGTACAATCAGCTTTGTGGGGAGAGTGGCATAAGATGGGCTGCTGGCTTAGCAGAGGCTGTGGGTGTGGTGGGCAGGATAAGGCCATGTCTAAGATAAGGTGTCCTCCTGTTTTCAACAAGAAATATTACATGAGCAAATGGCAGGATTATTTATTGAGCCACATAGGTGCACTCTCTCTACCTTTGCACTCCCCTCCTCATTCTAATTGGTAGTTGGGCCTTTTGAGAATCCCTGTATCCGGGGAGTTTGTGGTTCAGGGCCAAAGCAGAGGTGTTGGAGATTACCCCTGTATCTGTGGTAGGTGGATTATGCCAAGAGGCCCAAGGTAAAGGGGTGAGGTTTAAAAAAAAGGAGAAGAGGGACACTTTTGTCTCTAAGACTGGGACAGGAGCAGAGGGGAGTGGAGAAGAGGTTAGCCACTCTCCTGCTAGGGGCAGAGATCTGTGTCAGGACCCAGTGGAGGGAGTGGGAAGAACCTCAGCAGGGGAAGGCTACAGGGTGCACCTGGCAGGCTGAGCTCTCAGCACCCAGGCCACAGCCTTGCTGAAGACCTGAGCCCGTTTTTTGCATAGAAGCCTTCCAACTAACAGTCTTCAAGTGACCACATGGGCTCTGAAAACTATCATAACAGCAGCCATGGAAGGAACGTACCCTAATTTTCTAGACCTCCCAGAATTTCTCATGACTCAGTGGGAGATTGAGATTTCCTCCATCCTAGTGGGATAGAGGCTTAGAGAAACCAGATTGAATTTGTTTTATTTTGTTCTGGGTGTGGGGAATACTGGAGTCCTAGGCCAAGGAAGCCCACCTTCCCTTGGTGTTTGTAGGATAGATAGTCTCATCTACACTTGCAACGAAAGGCTTTGCAACCTGGTCCCTAAGCCAGTGCCTTGCCTATTCAGTCACTCATATCTTTAGGCTTTTCTGAGTGGAGACAAGGCCTAACAGTCAGGACATTGCTCTCTCTGCAGCCCCCTACTCCACATCACCCAGGACTATCAATCCTAGGATTCTCTTGGACACCTTGCATTCAAACAGCCACCAAATCCTACCTCCACCTGATCTCCTGAGTCCATTCCTCTTTCTTTATCTTCACTGTTGATGTTGCAAGCTTCTAGGTGATGCTGGTGTTGCACTCTGGGGACCACACTTTGAGGACCACTGATCTATAGGCTCTGTGGTATTATCAGGTGTCTCAGCAGATTCTTAGATGCATGCAAATGTGAACTCCAGCTTTCGGGCAGTTGATACAGGAGGTGCCTATGCCACGTGTTATTTTTTTGTACCAAACGTTGCTCTTGGACTAACATATCAATTCTACTTCACCAAGAGTAACTTCAGTCCACACTGACTCAAGAAACCAAGAATGCCGAGACGCATTTCATTCAAACATTCTCCCCTTGGCAGGGAGATCAAGATGGAGGCATCTGGCTTCTGCCAAGGATGTCAGTGTTAGTCCTATGCAAAACCAGTTCCGGTTCTTTCTTGTTCTTCACACAGGTTTGAACAATGATGCGACTGTAAACCGTGTGTGTGTGTGCGCGTGTGCGCTAATACGATTTAGGCTGGATTTGGACACTGAGGGACAGTTCCTGGAGATGCTGAGGATTAGTGGTAACAGCTGTTACTCTCCCCATTAGAGGAAAAACTGAAAGGAGAAGAAAATACTTTTGTGTAAGGGATGTGTTTGCAACTCTGAGGGAGGCAGCCGTTCTATCAAGCCTGAAGAAAAGTGTGTTCCTAGGTAAGTGGATGTTTTCTTTTTATTTATTTATTTTTGTAGAGATGGGGTCTCCCTATGATGCACAGGCTGGTTTTGAACTTCTGGCTTCAAGTGATCTTCCTGCCTCACCCTCCCAAAATGCTGGGATTACAGGTGTGAGCCACTGTGCTCAGCTCCAAGTGGATGTTCTTCAGCGTTCAGGTAGACAAGATGCTGGTGGGAAAGAGGACACGGTGAAACCTAAGGCAGGAGGGTGGGAGGTGGGGCTGTGGCTGCAGTCTGCGAGACGAGGCACTCACTCCCCTTCCCTTGTAGGCACCTGTGTCTGATCTGCCTTTGGAAAGTAGACCACTTGCCATCAGCAAGGGCTTGAGGAGCATTTTCATTTCATTTCTTTCTCTTCTTTTCAGAGACAGGGTCTTGCTCTGTGCCCAGGCCGGAGTGTAGTGATGTGATTATAGCTCACTGCAGCCTCAACCTCCTGGATTCAAGTGATCCTCCTGCCTCAGCCTCCCGAGCAGCTGGAACTAGAGGTGCGCACCACCATGCCCAGCATTCGAGGGGCATTTTCTATGTGGCCCTTGTGAAGGAAAATGAGAAGGGCCCTGAGCCCCCTTGACTGAGAAAATGCTTTTACAGTTCATCTTCATTATCTCCTAATGTGTCTGAGAAGCCCTAGCAATGGTTCCCTGTAGTATGGAGATGTGTGACTTTGGTGCTTCATAGAAAACAAACTTAGAAAAGAAAGGCATTGTCTGAAGGACTCTTAAATCTAAGAAATTTGAGGTATAGATCATATTCCTGTCTTCTTTTAGCTTGTGAATGTAAAAGGTGGTTGTGTGTGAAGAGACAATAGGAGTGGAGGATACTTGATTATTTGGTTTATGGATTATTTCCTTAGTCTATGGTTTTCATAGCTAGTTTCACTACATTTTCAGGATTTAATTTTTACCTTTTAAAACCAGCTGACTACAGGGAAGGGCCTTTTTTTTTTTTTTTTTTTTTTTGCCTTGCATTGCTCCTTAGGTCAAAATATTAGCCAAACTTCTAAAATGCCTGTGTACAGAACTATAAAAAAAAAAACAACAAAACAGAAACAACTGGTTTTGTTGTTGTTGTTGTTTTTGGAAATGGAGCCTTGCTCTGTTGCCCAGACTGGAGTGCAATGGCACGATCTCAGCTCACTGCAACCTCCGTCTCCCAGGTTCAAGCAATTCTCCTGCCTCAGCCTCCCGAGTAGCTGTGGCTATAGGCACATGCCACCACGCCCAGCTAGTTTTTTGTATTTTAGTAGAGACAGGGTTTCACCTTATTGCCCAGGCTGGTCTTGAACTCCTGTGCTCAGGCAGTCCACCCACCTCGGCCTCCCAAAGTGCTAGGATTACAAGCGTGAACCACCACACCCGGCCTAAAACAGCACTGTTAAAAAATGCCTGTGATAATCCTAAATATTTATGTAGGCATTCATCTGCCTTGTTTGCTATCTCTCATTTTATTTTTGTCAACTTCTTTTACATTGCCAAATTTTAATTCTTCCTCTTGATGGGAATTAGAGGTAGTAAGCAAAAGTAAAATTTACTCTATAAATGCTATTTTATTGAATCATTGTGTTCTATTCCTCAGCCAACATTTTTATCAGTATGTTTAAGAAGGTATAGAATAAATTGAGTATTTCTTTCTCTGCTCATCTTCTTTCTCTGCTCATCTTCTAGGATATAGCTAAAAACAGCCAAAGAAAGGACAAAGAGATATCAAAGCATTGCCAACTTAACAGTCACCTCTAAATAATTGATAGTTGGTAGATGTTTTGTAGCACTTAGCTTGGTAATTTTCAGTTGTAACAGAGATAAGACGCTCAGCCAAGCCACCCCATGCCGTGCCTCCTGACCATAGTGGTATATTGGGTGTCTACTTCAGCAATAATGTATCAGAGCTTACGCTGCCCTTGGGTACTAGTCAGCTTGTAAGGAGCTCACACTAGGATGCAAACATTTTCTGGTTTTATTTCTTTGACTCCATAATTAAAGCCTCTCTTTTGAACAACAATAACATAAAAGCAGTCTGGTCTTACGAGAAAATTATAAGAACAGAAGTTTTTAAAAAGGTGTTTGGAAATGAAACACTTCCTTTAGCCTGGCATTTCTTTTTGATCTTGGCCTTGAGCATTAGCAATCCTGGGAGGCTGCACTAAAAGCATCTCGGGTACAGAGGCAGTGTGGGGTTCAGGTTAGTCACATCCCAAGAAGACTTTATGTCATTTTCCTCAGTAGCATCTGGACTGAAGCTGCTGTTTGTCATGATACAGGAGAGGGCAGGATGAGGATGCGGGCTGCCCTCGTGGGCTGGGCTTGCACCACCCTCTGCCTGGTTTCCTGCTCATCTGCCTTTTCCCATGGTGCCAGCACGGTGGCCTGTGAGGACATGCAGCCCAAGCACATTCAAGCCCAGCCTCAGCACCAGGACACCCACCACATCACCATCCACACCCGCAGGTCTTCCTATGCACCAGGTGACAAGATTCCAGGTATGTACCGGAGAGGCTTTGAGAGACTCCGAGGAGCCCCAGAGCCCCCATGGATCTTCCAGTTTGTGTTTGTCCCAGTGAGAAGCTTCCTGGACTAAATTTGACTTAATCCCTTTTTTTTTTTTTTTGTAGAGATGGAGTCTCACTATGTTGCCCAGGCTGGTCTGGAACTCCTGGGCTCAAGTGGTCCTCCCACCTCAGGCTCCCAAGAAGATGGGACTACAGGCACATGCCACTGTGCCATGCTAATTTTTTGTATTTTTTTTTTTTAGAGACAGAGTCTTGGTATGTTGCCCAGTCTGGTCTCGAACTCCTGGGCTCAAGTGAACCTCCTGATTCAGCCTCCCAAAGTGCTGGGATTGTAGCCTGGCTTAATCTTAAGAAGCAATTATCAGTTTAATAATAAGCATAAAATATTTGTGTCATAAAAGCCACATAACTAAACTCTGCATTGATTATGATCTATATAAGAAGGCACAAATATCATTATTATAGAAAATTATTTTGTCCTTATAATAAGATATAAATGTATCTTATTATGGACACAAATATAGTTACTCTGAACAACCCTCATGTATCACCTATGAGTGTGAAATATACTTTTTTCTCATAATTTAAAACTAAAATTCATCCATCAACAGACACTTTGGTGAGAAGATGGATATTTTCATTTGCTTGACTCTAGTAACCATTTCACTATGTGTAAGTATATCAAAACATCATGTTGTACACTTTAAATATATACAATTTGATATATTTTTTAATTAAAATATTAGGGGATGAAAAAATCATTTCCTGCTCTTTTAGTTTAGGTGCCTATAAAAGCAGGGAAAGAACATAAGCGCAGGTGGTTTATGTGAGAGATCATCCCAGGAAACACAGGTGAGGAAGAGGGAAAGGGAGCTGGGCAAGAGGAGACAATAATCAAGGGCGTGCAACTGAGCAGGTCGCTGCTGTGGGCACCCGAGGTACATTCCGGTGGGGACCCTCTGAGAAGCCATGTGAAACGCCTCTGAATCATCTCTCAGGAGGATGCAGGGGCAGGGCACTTACCAGTTTTGGGTTGTCCTCCCAGGGATGTTTCTACTTCCATGCCCACCTCCCCCTCCCCAAACTCACACACACTCTCCAGAGTCCATAGCTTACCTTGGACCAAGCTTGGAAGTGGCAGTGAGGGACAACAGAGGAGGAAGCTACAGATGCTTCAGATGCCACTAAGTGTAGGCAGAAAACTATGCACCCAAGGCGAGCTCCATCAGCAACTTTTGCCCTAAACCCCTCTTGATTTTTACTGATTCTTTTGACGGGAACTAAAGGTGACAAACAAAAATGAAATTTACTCTATAAATATTGTTTTATCCATTCGTTTCATTCTGTTGAGAAGTGTGAAAAAACATGGGTGAATAGTACATGAGTTGAACATCAATATACTCCCCAATATACTGAATTAAGGCTATTGTAACAGAGCTTCCCAAACTTTGTCGCATCATGACACAGAAAGCGAGTGTGTATGTAGTACCCCGGGGCAAATGCAAGAGGTTCCCCAAGGAAGGCCACTTCTTTGGGATCTCCAACCACCCTAGTATGCATCCAGCCCCTCCCAGCATGAAGGGATTAGTATGTCAGTGTCCTAGTGTTCTGTGGCTAGGGGAATAACAATGGTAAGAATCAAAACACTATGTCAGCTAGGCTTGGTGGCTCATGCCTGTAATCCCAGCACTTTGGGAGGCCAAGGTGGGTGGATCACTTGAGCTCAGGAGTTTGAGACCAGCCTGGGCAACATGGCAAAACCCCATCTCTACAAAAAAAAAAAAAAAATACAGAAATTAGCCGGGCATGGTGGCTTGCACCCTGTGGTCCCAGCTATACTAGAGGCTGAGGTGGGAGGATTGCTTGAGCCTGGGAGGCAGAGGTTGCAGTGAACTGAGATAGCACAACTGCACTCCAGCCTGGGTGACAGTGACAAAGTGAGACTCTGTCTCAAAAACAAACAAACAAACAAAACCCAAAACCAAAAAATGCTATGTCAGGGAGAAAAATCTGTGGAAATAACTACAAATATTGTGATCCCTAAATTCTGAAGGTATCCTGAGGGAAACATAATTGGATTGTAACTGGAACCAAGACAGCATATGTAATAAATAACTTAAGGGAGTGCCTCATGGATTCAGTGAGAGTCAGCTATTACTCACTTACGTTGTAAGTATACTGTTTTCTTACCGAGATCTGTGAGTCCTTGAAGGTAAGGGCCATGATATCCTGCTCATAGATACATACTCAACACCTAGCATAGTGCCTGGTGTTCAATAGTTCTAAATATTTGTTCAAATGTTTACTAATAAAAGTTCAAATGTGTGGAAAATGAAACAATCCTAGACACCAAGCTGCATTTAGCAAATTTATAAAGGTCTGACCCTGGTTTTAGCCACTCATTCCCTTGAACATGAGTGGCTAATTTTTTTAAAAAAAATTTAAATAGCTTAAAGATATTACATGCTTTAAAAATGTTAAAATAGTATCAAAAAGTAGAAAATTAAAAGTACTTTTCCTTCTCTTGCTCTGAACACTCAATTTGATTCTCCAGAGGTAACTCTTGTTAAGTTTCTTGCACCTCTTTTCAGAAGTTTTCCATGCATATAAGCATATGTGAGTGAGATCTCAAATTAATATAATCTTAAGCAGACACAAATTAAATGTCTGTGTAATGTTTATATTTTTTTTACCTAACAATCAGATTGATATCTTTTATTGGATACAGAGCTTGGTTTTTTTTTTTTTTGAGACAGAGTCTCGCTCTGTCACCTAGGCTGGAGTGCAGTGGCGCGATCTCAGCTCACTGCAAGCTCCGCCTCCCAGGTTCACGCCATTCTCCTGCCTCAGCCTCCCCAGTAGCTGGCACTACAGGTGCCTGCCACCACACCTGGCTAATGTTTTTTTCTGTATTTTTAGTAGAGATGGGATTTCAACGTGTTAGCCAGGGTGGTCTTGATCTCCTGACCTTGTGATCCGCCCGCCTTGGCCTCCCAAAGTGCTGGGATTACAGGCATGAGCTACCGTGCCCAGCCACAGAGCTTGCTTTTAATGATTTCATGACAGTCCATTGTCTAGAGGTCACATGATTGATTTAACCAGTTTCTTATTTACGGGAATTTACTTTTTAAATTTTTTTTCATAAACAGTTTTGATGGACATCTTTATTCATATGTCTCTGCTCATCATATGCATCGGGATTGTTTTAGCTGCAAGTATCAGAAAAAATGATTAACGGAAACTTGACGAGTAAAAACATTTAATTTTCTCTCTTAAGTCTGGAGGCACAGTTTCTGTATTGTGTGAAGCCATTCAATACATCATCGAGATCCTAAGATTTTTCCATTTTCCTGCCGTCATTAGCGAGTTGGGTTTTCATTCCTTTGACGTCGCACAGTCTCAGGATGAGTGCCGTGGTTTTAGGCCTCGCACTGGGATGACAGCTGGAATAAAGGCCTTATGTGAAAAGACTGATCCTTAGACATTAGCTGTTCTCTCAGCAGATTTGGCCTTATTGGCCAGAATTCTGTCTGGTGAAGGGGAACAGAATCACCAACACTGGTTTCAGTCTAATCACGGTTCATCCCCTGGAGAAAAGGAGAAGCCTAACTTCCCTGAAGACAGGTGGTCTCCACTTGCCACATGAATGTAGCATCTGGGTTCTGTTAGCAGAACCATCTGTTCTGCTAGCAGGGAATAAGCAGACAATAGCTGTTGAGTATTGGACATCAGTGTTTGCCATATTTATTTGTTCAAGTTTGTCAGTGGGGAAAATTCTTAGCTGCAAAATTTCTAGATCAAAGAGTAATGATTTTTGGAGGGCATTTCTTTTATTGTGTTTATATACATATATCATAAACTTTACCATTATAGCTGTATACAGCTTAGTGGCATCAAGTGCATTCACAATGTTGTACAGCCATCATCACTATCCATTTCCAGAACTTTTCCATCATCCCAGATGGACACTCTGTACTGGCCATCCTTCCCTGTGCCCACCCTCAGCCAACTTTAAATCTTCTTTCTGTCTCTGTCAAGCCGACTGCTCTGGGTGCCTCACAGAAGTGGAATCATGCAATATTTGTTATCTTCGGTCTGGCTTATTTTACTGTGTTTTCAGGGCTAACTGATAAGGTAGCATGTATCAGAGGGGTAATTGTATTTTAAATGTGGAAGATGTTGTCAGGTTACACCACAAAAAGTTGGATGGTTTATAGTCCCAGCACTAGTGAATGAATGTCCTAGTTTTTCCATAGTCTTATCAAGACTGTTTACAATCACACATTTTAACATTTGCTAATATGAAAGGTGTAAAATAGTATCTCATTTATAATTGCTTTGAAAACATTACTGAGCAGCCAGGTGTGGTGGCTCACACCTGTAATCCCAGCACTTTGGGAGGCTGGGGAGGGCAGATCACGAGGTCAAGAGTTCGAGACCATCCTGGCCAACATGATGAAACCCTCGTCTCTACTAAAAACACAAAAATTATCTGGGCGTGGTGGCGCATGCCTGTACTCCCAGCTACTTGAGAGGCTGAGGCAGGAGAATCACTTGAACCTGGGAGACAGAGGTTGTAGTGACCTGGGATCGCGCCACTGCACTGCAGCCTGGCAATAGAGCGAGACTCTGTCTCAAAAAAAAAAGAATTATTACTAAGCTTGTTTTATTTTCTGTTTGTATCCTTTCATTATTTTGAGGGAGTCATCTTTTTATGGATTCACCATGACTCTGATTATTTGTCTGCTTTATGTCTTACAAATACTTTTCTTTGGAAAATAATTTTTTTAATCATCTGTCCTAAGTTCACCTAAACTCATATTTTAAAAAAATATAGCACACTTTACTCATCTTTTCCTTTATGGCAGCTGGGTTTTGCTCAGAGAGGTATTTCTAAATCCAGTATTTATAAAAAGAAAAAAATGTTTCTAGTTATATTTTATTTCATTTTCGCATACCTTTGATCCAAATGGAATTTATTTTGGTGTGAAATAGGACTTCACCTTCTCCCCCCTACCCCAGTGAATTGTTCACTTTTTAGGGGTTGATCTTAAGCTTTTAGTTTTGAAAAAACCTGCATAAAACCACCAAATGGAACTAAGTCACACATGTTCATGTTGAATGGGTGTTTTTGTTGCAGTGACGGTGAGAAGCAGTCGTGATTTCATGGGATTTCTCCTTCAGGCTCGAAGAGTGTCTGATCATCAAATCGCTGGGACTTTTGTTTTCATTCCTCCTCATTCCAAACTGATGACTTGTTTTCAAGAGGCTGATGCAGTCACCCATTCTGACAAGTCCCTGAAGAGAAACCTGTCGTTCCTGTGGAAGGCCCCTGCCCAGCCTGTGGGGGATATTAAGTTCCTGTAAGAGAGTGAAGTGCTGTTTCTTAGAAACTGAGCCTTTAACTTTGAAGAGAGGGGAGCTTCTCTTTGCCCTGCCTTCATATTCCCTTTCCCCCTCCTTATGTGGCCACCTTATAGCAAGGACAGGGTCACGGATGCTGCCTCAACTGGAGAGCCTATGCAGAGGGGAACTAAAAAAAATGTTGCCCCCAACCTCACCCCTTCAGCACTATCCATATTATCTCCCTGCCTCCCCAAGCACAGGCAAATCTTGGCCAACCTCTCCAGGAATTTCTGACCAGAGGACAGAAGGGCTGGCGGTGGGAAGGCAGGAGAGAGCCAAGAAAGAGACAGGCAGATGGACAAATGGACACGTCCCTGGGCCCAGGAAAAGCCTCTTGAGGCTCTGTGCCTTGGCTTGTTGTCTATAAATGGGCATAACCACAGCACCTCCCTCAGAGGGTTGTGTATGGATGAGAGAGCCTATGTTTGCTCAGAACAGTTCCTGGCAACAGTAAGCACTTCAAAAGCATCATTACTACTCAGAATGAGGTGCTTGTTTTGTCATTCTTTTCAGACACTTGCATTTACCAAGAAAGATAATTTTTTTCTTTCAGGAAAGGGTGTGTGTTTCTGTTTCTTTTCCCCACACCCTCCTAAATATGAAGGAGAGTGCGTCTGCAGGCAGAGGTCATCCAGGGCGCGTGCTTACCTCCAGGACTCCCCTCTGCTCTGGGGAGCAGTGGGAGAGGAGGTTGGTGGCCCCAGCCTGTGGTGTCCCTTCTCCCCCACTTCCTGGTGGCACAGGGAAGCAGACAGGACAGTAAGAAGGGAAACACATGCCTTAGGATTTTTCCTCTTTGGAAGGCCCAGGGCCCGCTTACCCGTGGGTGTGCCCAACTTCTGCCCTTGGCTTTGGTTCTTATGCAGTACAGAGGGTGTCTGACACTTGAAGTCCTTAAATCTGTACAGTCACCTTTTTTTCTCAAAGCACTTCCATTCCTATTTTTGGATTTACCATCATAGATGCTGCATGCCGCATAGCAAGTAGTGTAGAAGCTATGATCTCCATTTGACAGAACAAAACGAGCTAAGTCACTTGATGAGATGCCTGGCCTAAGTCGCCCTGTGATCTCCCACCTCTGGGAACCCTCGCGCACGATAACGTCCGCCAAGTCTGGAAACTGCATGTTGGGGGCCTGAACTATGACTCTCACTGAGTCTCGAGCCTCTGGGTGACCTCGGCCAAATTAATCGCCTTGTTATGACTGCCTCCTGAATACTTAAAGTGGGAAAAATGATGCTTACCAATAATCCTTCCTTTACTGAAATATTTGGAAGAACAAATGGCATAATGTTTGTGAAACTGATTTTTTACTGAAGAATTATTTTTCAAAAAATTATTTAGAATATTAAGGATTTGTCTCTAATTTCCAATAGAATCTACAATGACAATAGACATGTACAATTATACAACAGAATTATGAGATCTTCAAATCATGATGTAATAACAGTATATCAGGAATGGCTAATAATAACATTGACAATAAAACCTTTTGTTGGAGTCTAAACAGTTTAAGGAGAAACTTTTTAGTTAAAATGAGATTTTTAGTGACTATTCAAGAAGACCATTGATTTTTCATATCCTCTCTCATTCTAATTATTTGCAACTGTGGGGTTTTTGTTTTTAAAAAGAATGAAGTCACTTTTCATTCTTGAAGTAATAACATAATCTCTCTCTCATTCTTCTATTTATTTAGTTTTGTTCCTGTTTATCTGTTAGTGTGTTCTCTCTTTTCTATGAGGCTGGCCTGAGTTATTATTTAAAGGAAACTAAATCCGTGAACCACTCTGCTCTTTCTCTTTCCACAGTTTATCAGTAGTCCAGTCATATTTCGTTTACTGGGCAAGGATTGAATCATCTGTTGTGTCCCAACAGACACATAGCAGCGCCCATTCTGATGACCGCATGGAGCCCAGATTACAGATGCCAACCCTTCACCAGAGGCTGGGTGATGTTGAAGGAGCTGCCCCAGGTACAGCTTGTCATTGTATTTGCCAGGCTGGTTGTCATCATTATTTTTACAGTTACTTATTTTCACTTAAAAGTCACTACTGCCAGTTTCCTGTCCCTGCAAAACAAGTAATAAACACCTGCCGTGGCCAACTGCAGCAGTTCCTGGGGATGTGGTAACGCAGCAGTGAGAGGGAGGGAACGCTTGCAGTTGCTTTGTTTGTTGCAGCAAACACACTTTGTCTGGCTCAACCTAACACATTAAGTCAGGCCTCGGGGTGGACAGTGAGAGCTGTGCTGCAATACCAAAAAACAGCATACACCTCTTCCCCCACATTTACTAGTCCTCACAATATTTCCACTGTTTTCCTTAGTGCCCTGAAGCTACACAGGGAGCACAAAAAAGAAATGAGCTTTTCTTCGTCTTTTCTCATAAAAATGCATCCAGTTTTCATTGTTAACTTTTCACGGTAGGTAGATGGCTCTTTGCAACCTGGGTTAGAGAACAGAATCAGGAATCACTGTTTCAATGGGAAGGGATTTTTCCTTGCTCACTACATGGCTTTATATTCCATTAGTCCATGAACTCCTGAAAAAAGAAAAGAAAAGAAACAAAACAAAGGAAAACCTCTAGCCAGCTAGAGGCTGTTTGACCTACCTGAAAATCCCTGGTGGCATGGAACTCCTTTTTATTGCTTATTTCTAGTTAAGTTCTATGAACGCAAGCACTCGTAAAAGCATCCAGGCACATGCACACAAGACTCTGCCCTTAATCCATTCGTTCTCCTCTTCCTTTATTCTTTCCTTTATTCTTTGCTAATATGTTAAGGCCAGAATCCAGTCAGAATCCCTGTCTCTTCTCAGTCGAGCAGACCCAGGTACAGAAACAGTGGGGACCACCCTCCATTCTCTGTCTTTGCCCCAAAACCTTTGTCTTCTCCCATTACCCAGCACAACTCCTCCACCCCTCCCACCAAGACACTCCTAAAAGCAGAGTAAAGATCTCAGAGCCTGAGAGTGTGGCCTGGAGAAGACCCTGCACCCCTGACATATGTTTGAAATCTCACGTTTTATTTTATGAATGATGCAAATGTCATGTTTTAATCCCAAGTATAACCACGTTTGTTTGGACATGAATATGAATAAAACTGAAGTTTCAGGAAGAAGTGTCATGTGGAGCCTTGGGCCTTTCTATGCCTGACTCTGCTGGAAACCTTGTCCGCTAGGGGCCACAGCTTCCAGCCCAAGCAGTTTACAGGGTAACCTCCTCATTACATTGCCCACATTCCTCTCCTTTTGGCCCCGGCCTGTCTTCCCCATTCATTCCAGTACCCAAACCCTAGTGATTCCCAAAGGAAAAAGAAACGTGTATGTATGCATGTGCGTGCATGTGTGTATGTATGTGCGTGTGTGTGTGTGTGTATGTATCCTGGGAAGTTTATCTTTGTACAGTTAAGAAATCTATTCACCTTATTTCATCTAATAAAGTGAAATAGATTTCTTAACTGTACAAAGGATTCAGTAGGCAAGTATAAATTATAAATTTTCAAAATTGGGGAAGTAGGATATTGTATATCTGAAACTTATCTCCCAATAGACCAAGACACTTTGGGTCCTCCTCCACCCCATTAGGTATGGTCTACTTTTATATTTCAGTCCCTTCCCTTCTGACACTTCCTCAAACTGGACTGTTCCACATGACAGTTCTCTGCATCTTTCAAGGTACAGTTCAAATATCTCCTTTGTGAAACTTTTCCTGATATTTCCTGGTAGGCAAGTGCCTTAGTCTATTCCAGCTGCTATAACAAAACATCCTAGACTGAATAATTTATAAACAATAGAAGCATATTGCCTACATTCTGGAGGTTGGGAAGTCCAAGATGAAGGCACCAACAGATTAAGTGTCTGGTGAGGGAGGGATGATCTGTGCCTCAACAATGGCACATTCTTGCTGTGTCTTCACATGGTAGAAGGGGTGAACAAGCTCCCTCAGTCCCCTTTTATAAGGCCACTAATCCCATTCATGAGGGCTCCACCCTCATGACTTAAGTACCTGCTAAAAACCCCACCTCTTTACACTATTGCATTGGGAGTTTGATTTCAACAAGTGAATTTTGAGGGGGACACATTAAGACCATAGTGGCAAGTATAATTGCTTCCTTAGCTCTGGTATTAATTGATTAATTAATTCATTAATTAATTTTGAGACACAGTCTCTCTCTGTTACCCAGGCTGGAGTACAGTGGTGCGGTCTCAGCTCACTGCAACCTCCACCTCCAGGGTTCAAATGATTCTCCTGCCTCAGCCTCCCAAGTAGCTTGGAATTACAGGCATGCGCCACTGCATCCTGCTAACTTTGGTATTTTTAGTAGAGAGACACAGTTTCCCCATGTTGACCAGGCTGGTCTTGAACTCCTGACCTTGGGTGATCTACTTGCCATGGCCTGCCAAAGTGCTGGGATTACAGGCGTGAGCGCCCGGCCTCTTGTATTAATTTAGGTAGTTTGACATGTAAGGGTGTCTCTTCCCAGTTTTGAGTTCAGGGACACCAGTTACAAGTCTGCATTATGTTTGCATCTCCAACAACTCTAACAATGCCCAGCACACAGTGGGTCTGCAGGAAATATCCAAATGCTCCTAGAGTTCAAAAAGGAATTTGAAACTATCAGTTTGCCATGTTTTGTATGTCTGGGCTAGGCTGCTTTGTTCTTCACTTCAACATTTGTGAGTGTTAAAAACATTGGAGCAAAGGGGTACCTCCTTCACCCCCATGAAAGAACCTGGAGCCCTTGCCAGAGAAACTTCTGCCAACACTGTTTTGGTCAGTGCCATCATGCCATCCTCATCATCATTGTGGTAAACCCTCTGTGCATGTTGCCTGTGCCTGTGTGCCAGGCACCTGCTTCACGCTTCCCCATTAATGAGTTCGTGTCAACCCCTCAGCAATTCTATGCTGGCCTCATTTTGCAAATGAAGAAACTAATGCTCTGGGAGGACTGCCCCAAAGCCAGGAATTAGTGGAGGACTGAACCCAGATAAGAGTCTGACTCTACAACCTGCACTTGCTTGCTTGCTGCTCCGTGTGAAGCTCTTTCTCATGCTCTGGGCTGTCAGGTTAGCCAGTCACAAATGGGAAATGAGATGGTGGAGGGCAGTGGAGGGCAGTGATCTCGTCTCTGCTCATAGCAGATGTTCAAGTTATTATCACCAGGGAAAGAAACTTTGAGTGTTAATAATAGGGCAAGAAAGATCTAGGGCTTTGAAAAGTCTGATTTGTGGGATTCCACTCTTTTTTCTAGCTAGAAGCAGTTTTTGGTAGAGGTGAAATAAATACGGTGGTCACAGTGCGTTCTGCGTTCCCTGAATGGTGGCTGTTAAGAAGGTACAAGCCCAGACAGGCCAGGGACTCACTCTCTAAAAAGATATAAGCCCTTGCGTGGTCAGGGGCTTGTGTGATCAGGCAGGTCATCTGTATGCTGACACTTTTAAGTGCCTTACACTTAATGGTCTCTCCTTGAGGAACATTAGAGTCACTGCTGTTTACCCCCGATCATAGCTATGTGTACCAATCGATACGGGGAAAATGCTCTCACTCTCTGCACTGTCTTTGGGCCTCTGCTTAGCTCCCAGGGCCCCCATCACTCTTCCACAGAAGCACACACATGCCTTTGCTGTTGCCCTTCCTGGAGCTGCAGAGGAGGACAACCTAGATCCTGTTCCTGCCAGTATTTGGGTGACAAAGTTTCCTGGGGATACAGAGACTCTGTCCCAACCATCTTCACACACAGCCACTGAAGGCAGCATCGACCAGCAACTCAGCATGGACAGCAATCCGACTCTAGAGCCGTCCCTGGAGGTCCACAGGCTGGAGAGGCTCGTGGCCCTCAAGAGAGTCTCCTCAGAGAGCTTTGCTTCCAGACTTAGCATCCATCACAGGTAAGGGTGATGGGTGGGCCATTCAGGACAGGTGATGGGGACTAGGCTGAACACTGGAGTGCATCATTTGGAGTCTGACAAAGAAGATCTCAGCCATATTTATTCTTAAGTGTGTGAAAAACCCAGGATGTAACAGGGCCACTGGTCTGAAGGACTGGGTATGATAATTACCCAGGAAAATTATTCTCTTGGATGGGGTGAGATCTCTGAGATGCTGTTATAAATAAAACAAAACTTTAAAAGTGACTTTTTATATTTTAAATATATTTATAATAACAATATAGAAATGTATATTTTATATAAAATAATAAGCGATAGCATTTGGTGAGTTCTTTGCCGCCATTCTCACTTATCTCTCCCCTTCCTCTTCTCTGTGGTTCCCAACTCCAAACTCAGAAGTTTTTCAAGTGGATCTGATGCCATCTGCATACACAACAATGGTAGGAAACATTGCTTTTTGGTCCAAAACTTAATGACCTGTTTTCAGCCCTTCCATTTTTCCTTTTAGATCTCAGGATGATCCCAGCTTTGATTCACTGGAAACTTGCCTATCCTCAGTTGGGGGTGAACAGGTAAGAACCTAAACTGTGAAGAGGGCTTGCGACTGATGTTTTGATCCTAGACTGGCCAGTTTCAGGCTGGAAAATCAGAGCTACTAGACTGATTGATAGATAAAGTCAGAGAGAAGAAGGCAAAGTATAATATACACACAGTGTCTTTCTACTAATCAATACCTTTCCATTATATGCAGTGTCTCTGAAGTGATCGGCAATTGTAGAAATTGATGTTTTAGTGATTTGTCTTCTCACGTAGCCATAGTTAATAATTACTCTCTTCTCTCCTCCTCCATCCCTCCTTCATAACATTGACCTCAAAGCACCATGTATGGTCCCAGAAGTTAGATCAATGGGCAATATAAAATATAAATGCCCACTGATTTACTATTTCTTTGAAGTCTTGGAAGGAACACAAAATAAAACATGGTGTAATATTCTTACTTACATTTATCAGAACCTACAGTGAGGTTAAATGGTCCCTCTTGCATGGGTCCTATCATAAAAAGACACACTAGAAGCTTTCAGCCATAGAAGATGATGCAATCACCCATTGATATTTTGGTTTGGAAGCCTCTTAAAGGATCCTTAGCTTGTTCTTGTAACTGGCTTCCTTGTTCTCTGTGGGGTTTCCATTAGCCACCCCATCCCCATCAATAACAAGTGCATTTGTATCTAGTTGGGCATTTTACTTTGAGCTCCTTTAGTAGCAAGAAAGAGATTGGGTTTTCAGCTGCCGCCTGGGAGTCTTTAAGGAACCCCAGTTAGTTACAAAGTTCAGTGGCAGCTTAGGAGGAAGACCAGTACCTTTGACTCTTTTTTTCCTTTGTTTTTCTAGGACAAGATGAAGGCCTCTAACAGGACCGTGACACAGCCTCCTCTGTACACCGTCCAGCTTACCCATCCCCGGCGCCTCTGGTCCTCTGAAACTTTCACAGGGAATGGGGCAGGGGCAAGCAACCCAACCGCTGTCCTCCAGACCTCTGGTACTTCTGGGCTACCTGCTACTGGTGACCAGTCAGAGGCATCCAGGGCCTCTGCCAGCTTCTTACTTCAGTCAAAGCACGAGGAGCTCAGAGCAGGGAAGGGAGATGGAGAGGGTGGAGTGGGATACCCTCAGCAGACCAACTCACGGCCTGACGCTGGGCTAGAGGGGGCCCAGGCCCCTCTGGGGATCCAGCTCAGAACTTCCCAGCTGGGAGTTCTGCTTTGCCTGTCAGCCATCCTGGGCATGGCCCTGGCTGCTGGCCTTCGCTACCTGCACACCCAGTATTGCCACCAGCAGACAGAAGTGTCCTTCGGCGAGCCCGCTTCGGATGCTGTTGCCAGGAGCGACGGTGGTGAGACTGTGCACATCAGGAAGATTGGGGAGAACAGTTTTGTTTTGGTTCAAGCAGAGTACAACTGGATCACTCCTTCTGTGGGTAGCAAGAAAACAGTCCTCTGAGAAGACCATCACCCCAGACCTCTCAGTGGCCCTCCTTGGGCCCTGGAGAGTGTCCCAGACAGAGCAGACCTAATGAGAATACCTGATGAAGACAGGGACTCATTGTGCCTCTGTCAATGTGCAGTTCACAGAGGAAGCCGGGAGAGGACAGTTTCATCAACAGAGGGAGTTATTTCTGAGCTTTGTTGTCTTAACATCTGTAATTGAGCTTCCTTTTTTCTTTTTGCAATTAGACGTTCTGTTTGAAGACTTAAACTCAACACAATGAATATTGTATAACCCGCTCATTAACTAGACCCCTGTGGCCGCTAAGCTTCCTCTGTTGCCTTAAGGAAGCCATAGAAATAGAAATGCTGTCCCTCCTTAGTGTCTCATCCTCATCTCTTCTAACTCTTTGGGGAAAAGAGTAATGTTAGGTTGTGTCTCCTGCAAGAAAAAGAACTGCAGCTCTCACTTTGCCTTCCTAAACCACCCCCAAATAAGTTTTCTTTTCAAAACTAGAATTCAACAACTTGCTAGAGTTCTGATTTGGATGGCTAGGTGAATGCAAGGGTGTTTGGTCTTCTGGGCAACTCAGCAGCCTGGCAAATCGCTACGGAAATTGATCCAAAGTCAGGAAAGTTTTTGAGAGCTTGATTGAACACATCTTTAGGAAAACATATACATGCAACACAAGGCCATAAACACCAGAGTGGGGTAAGCAAGCCTTTTCATCAGGTGTAAATGGATCTGAGACCTCCCATCCATTTACACTTGATGGAAAGATTCGTGTTTTCCAGCAGCTAGCAGACATATTGCCTTTTGCCAGAGGTCAGGCTGAAAAACGTTATTATACCAGCACAGTTTGAAGAACAGTCTTTACTTGTCTTTTCAGGGAATATCAGGCAGAAAGCTTCATGGACGAAGGTCATCTATCTGATCTCATAACCTTATGAAGATTGCTTTGATTTAACAGTGGCTCCACAGATACTATCTGAGGTCAAAACAACAGATCTGAATGTAACTCTTAAATATGCTCACCTAATATAGCACATTGGAATTAGCTGCCTTTTCAGAGTGAAACCTATTATAAAGTCACCATTCATTTTAATGCAGAAACAAAAATCACTACAAATTCGGAAAGGATATTTGTTTATTGAACACCTAATTCATACAGGAACTGTGCTAAGAAATTTGCATATATCTTCACATTTAACCCTCACAAAAATTTAATGAGGAATAAGTGCAGTAACTTTCCAAGGAGAATGAGGCTTTCCTTACATCTCAATTTAACAATTTTTAAAAATTGGGTGTTCAGGAAAGAGACAGCTCCTGCTTTTTCCATACCTCCCTTTAGCTCGTTGGTCATCAATTCCAAGACTGTCTCCTCCTGGATTCTGGGCTAGATAGCTCTGTTCCCTGGCTTCAGTCATTAGATGCATGGAGACCTAGGTAATTTGTGCATTCACAAATGAAAGTGTTCTAGGAATGCTGTGGAAAGAAAGAAATGTACTGTACTCTAATAAGGCCACAGATATCCCTTCTGCATGCCTAGGGATGCCCTCTAAAAGATGTCCTCCCCGAGAAGCAAACAAGGGACCCCATTAGCGGAGAGCTCTCATCTGGCCACATCACATCAGAGCCAGATGCATCATGTATGCAACATTTTTTAGATCTTTTCTGTCTAAGAGAGAATTTTCCTATGTAAACAGACTGTTTCGCTTATCTGTTGATGTGAACAGATTACTTTCAAGCTTAGTAGTTGAAAATAAAATCACCACCACCATTTATCATCTTTCACGATTCTGGGGTTGCCTGGGCTCAGCTGGTCAGTTCTTCTGCTTTTGATGTTATTGAATGGGATGGGACAGCCTAGTTGACTCCCTCACATGGCTTGCAGTTGGTGTTGGCTGCCAACTAAGGGCCCAAATGGGGCTGCTGAAGAATGTGGGAAGCAATATGGTTCTGTTCTTTGTGTCTTCTTATGCCATATGGTGGCTGAGTTCCAAGAGGAAGTGTGCCAAGCACACAAAACCAAAGACTGCATGTCTCTTAAGACCTAACCTTGGAAGTGGTCATAGTGAGTCACAGGACCAACTCTCATTATTCAAAAGGAAGGGCAATAGATTTCACTTTTTGATGGGAGACGTGACAGAGGATTTGCAGCCATCTTTAATTCACTTTCCCTTCTTCTTAGACTGCTGACCTGCCATGGGGGGATTGTGTGAGACTTGAAGAGATGCCATTCATCCCTGGGAGATGAGGGAGGTGAGAGGAGTCTCCAGATTTCAGGATCAGGTATTTTCTCTTCTCCAGTTGGACTTCCAGCTTATACAAAACAGTAAAGTGATGCAGTAGGGTTAGCCAGATCTCTGAGCCTCCTCTTCCTCATCAGAGAAAAGAACATCACAAAATCATTCAGCTCTTTTGGTTGATGTAAAGATTGAATGCATACACAATATTTAGCTATCTGTAACCAAACTGACATGCCATTGTCATTAATGTTATCCTGAAGCTGCAACACTGTCTTTACGTGTAGTCCATTTAGAGAAATTCTGTGATCAGGAAAAAAAAGTCACTTTGTTTCTATGACAAATTCTCCTCCTCTTCTTCTTTTTTTTTTTTTTTTTGAGATGGAGTCTTGCTCTGTCACCAGACTGGAGTGCAGTGGTGCGACCTCAGCTCACTGCAACCTCTGCCTCCTGTGTTCACGCGATTCTCTTGCCTCAGCCTCCTGAGTGTCTGGGACTACAGGCACACACCACCACATCCAGCTAATTTTTGTATTTTTAGTACAGACAGGGTTTCACCATGTTGAGGAAGATGGTCTTTATCTCTTGACCTTGTTATCCATCCACCTCGGCCTCCCAAAGTGCTGGGATTACAGGCGTGAGCCACTGCGCCCGGCTGACAACTTCTCTTGAAGCATCCTTCCCACCTCACTTCCCTGGCTCAGCCACTTGAAGTCCACATGAGTTGTCATGGCAGTCATTGGCTACAATTCCTACCATGTATCAGATATTTTTTTGCTGCAACATTCTGACTAGACTCTTCTTTGGCCAGGGCAGCTGGAGTCCATAGGCCTATACTCTAACTACATAAGTGATCGTGAAGGTCCTCTAAGCTTCACAGAAGCCCCAGAGGGGAATGAGTAGGAAGTGTTAGCTTAACCTAAAGGCTCTTACTAAAGCGCAAAGCCATTAAAAGTTAAAAAAAAAAAAAGAAAAAAAGGAGAAAGGACTCAAATACAACATCTTAAAATAGCTTTTTCATTTTGTTGAAACAGCTACAAAATTGCTCATCCAACCTCTTCTTGGAGGAAAGACGGTATGGGGCTAAACACACATTTGAGGGAAAATGATGGATAAATAATTGCTGAAAACTCTTTATATTTTAAACAAATGCTTTTGTATCTATTGTGCTAATTTAATAACTATACACCATGGGTAGGGTAGCCTTAATCTTTTTACATTCAGAAACCATTTCTGATATTTCCAATTAATTTTTTCCCAAAGATACAATTTTGGTAAAGTACAACTTAATATTTGACTGTAGGTTGTCTTGCTGTCCCACTGTTGAGGCTCTCTGCATTAATTTGCTGTTAACACTGTTTGTTTTCCTTTAAAAAAAAAAAATTCTAATTAGCAAAAAAAAAAAAAAAGTCAGCAAGCCAGTAAATATTTAGACATGTGTCACACTTTATTTGCAAGTTATCTGAGAAGGGCTGGCAATTTATGAATAAATTTCAGGTGATGGCTATGTCCTCTCCCTGTCTCAGACTTCCGATATTAATCAGTGATCCTAGCCTTTCTGGGACACAGACTGTGTGTTCTGATTTCATTTCACTCCAGCCTGTCCCTCTTCTAAAAGTGGCAAGAAACTTCTTTTATTCAAGTGAAGTTAATTTGCATTAATTTGTTTTATTAAACTTGAGAACTTCTGCAGACTTACAGTATTCTGAGCGCTCTGCTCCATCTGCCCTGGCGTGGTGCAAAACCGGGGGTGGTCATCTCTCGCTCCCGGTTTATCATATCAGGATGGCATTTGTGATAAAAGGAAGACTAGCGTTTTGTTTGTTTGTTTGTTTTGCTCTTTAAATGCAAAAAGAAAATGGGAGCATTTTGAGACTCCTGTTCTACCCATAACGATTGAGGCCACAAGGACAACTATAGCCTGTCAGATGTTTTCCGGAGATTTTTTGCTTTCAAAACATAAATCAGTTCATGTCGCTGTCTCTGAATTCCCTAATGGTTTTCCATCTCTCTCAGAATAAAATATGGACATCTGATTGGGCTGACTGTGTCCTGCGAGAGCTGGCCCTCTGACATTGCCCTCTTCCTGCGTGTTCACTGTGCTGCTCTGAGCCCTCCAGGAAGCTCTGTGCAGCTCCCTTGCTCTCCTGTTGTCTGGAACGCTGTTCCCCCAGGCACCCAGCCTTCAGAACTTGCTTCCAGTGCTGCCTCAGCAGAGGGCCTTCTCCTGACCATTGCAACCTCTAATCAACCTAGGCTTCTACACTGTTTAATAATATTGATAGCACTTATAACCACTTGAGTCATATATTTATCTTCCCCAGGCACAGATCCTTCATAAAGACAAGGACTTTGTTTTGTTCATTGCTGTATTCCTAGTACATAACTTGGAGTCCACTATTCCTAGGACATAGTAAGTAATCAGTAGGTATGTGTTACATTTGTAAGTGAAAAGTTCAATACCCGTGTTACTATCACCAGCTCTTAGTGTAGATTAAAGTTGAATATATGGCACCTTGAGTAGCTTCAGAGCACATGGGAATCAGGCAATGTAAGTTTCCCTCCTAGAGGTGAATTTAAAAGAGTCTATGGGTGACTGTCCTCAGTGCAGGAAATGCTCTTATGTCTCAGATCCGAGGCTCCCGGGAGTTGTTGGCAGGGAAGAACCAAGAATAGACTTCCCTCTCGATCTGTGCTGGGGCAGACGGAAGGCTGAGCGGAGTCTTTCCAACTCAGAAGCTCCCTATAGGCAGCTTTTCTTCAGGTCACATCATCTGTCACAGGGTTTCTCAACCTCCATGCTGTCACCATCTGGGACTGGATATTGCTTATTTTGGGGGACTGTCCTGTGCATTGTAGGATGTTTAGTAGCATCCCTGGCCTCTACTCAATGCCAGTAGCTCCCTCCTCCCCAGTTGTAAAACCAAAAATGTCTCCAGACATGGACAAATGTCCCCTGGAGGGCAAAATTACCCCTGTTGGGGAACCATTGGTCTAGAACATAAGGCATGTGACTGTAGGCCCCAAGCTGAAGTGGCATTTCCCACATGATTTCCACACCCAGGGATGAAGTGGGCAGTACTGAGATGGAGAACTATAGAGTTTACAAATTGGAGTGCCTTTACAGGTCTTCTGACTCAGTGGTTTTTAAAAACCAAGTCAGTAAACCAATAAAAGATAAATGCTCTAGGGAGGTTTGGGGATATCTTCCCCTCCTGTTTCCTTCTCCCAGCCTCCCTTTTGCCCATTGCCTCAGAAACTCAGGGCTCCAACAAACAGGGATTGAAAACCATGAACAACGCCTTCTTCAGATGAGGAGAACAAGGCCACGGAGAGGTCAGTCCAACAACAAGTAAGTCTAGGGGAGTCCTCAGATTCCTCCGACCCACCCTGACTTCCAAATCTGCTTTTCCTTCCACCATACTTGGCAGCTCATTTATTCTCTTGGATCATGTTAGGTATTGTAAATATTTCAACAGATCCAGAGAGAGCCAAGAATCAAGCAGAAAAATGGCCTGGAATGATTACTTTACAGCCGCCCTGGGAATGAGGAGGATGATAGGACACTGGGGACTGGTCAGTCATGGTGAGTGAGGCGTGGGCATGACCTGCCAGGCTGTGACAGGGCCCCAGAAGTGGGCCAAAGGGAGGAGGGACAGCAAGGGAGGGAGGGGCAGTCATTATCCCAGGTAGGAGCCCACCACGGCAAGGAGATGTTTCTCATTGGTTTACAGCCACCATCTTGAACTCACTGCCTTCCTTGCTGTGGGCTCTGCATTTTCCTTCCTTTAAATGGCATCTTGGGAGCATCTTCCCCCCTCACCTGATGATAGATGGCTTCTGCAAAGTGTTTTGTTGCTTTATATAGGAAAGAGGGTGCCTGGAAGTACATTCCATTGGATATTAAAGACTGTATTTCCCTGATTTATTGTCAAGCTATGCAGGATTGTCTGAGACGCAAGGAACCAATGGGGATATCCATTTTGACTAATGATTAATTATTATATCGAAAGTGATATTTTCCTATCAACCGATAGGCAGGAAAAGTAGACTAGAGCTTGCTAGGTTAGCACCATGGGTCACAGATGTTGCCTCTGCATTTTCAGATTATATTATCCATTACAGGCGGCACCTTCTCATTTAAAACATAATTTGTTGTTCTCCCAGACGAAAAAAAAAAACTGACATTTCACATGCAAGCCAAAGATTAGAATCACTGCACAGGGCCGCATATGGAAGTACATTAGGATGTGGTGTCCCTGAATCAAGGACACCAGGCAGCCAGTGCTGGGAGAGATGTAGAAGGCAGTGACTTCTGATCTTTATTATGCAAATGTGCGGTCCCCGAGCCAGGCTGTTTAACCTCATCAGGGAAATGTCGCTGATCATTTCAAGCTCCAAATGTAGCACAAGCATTAGTACTAGTATGTTATTATTGTTATTATTATGATTTGGCGGGCATATGGAAGCCCAAGTCCTCTGATTTAAGCTCAGTCCCTACTTGCTCAGACCCTCTGGGATTGGACATAAACTCCTCTTGATATTAAACAAACAAATGTTTTTTTCTTTCTCTTTTTAATGCTTGTTGGTGAAACACTTTGCAGGCCTGGTTGTCTGCCAGACATGGGTGAGGATGGTGAGAGCTTCATGAAATGCAATCTCTACCCCAGAGGCTTAGTGACAGGGTGCCTTCTCTCTCCTCCAGGACTCCATGCCCCAGTGGCAGACGCATCTAGAGAAAGCATAAAGAATGGAGTAGAGGCAGGAGAAAGGATGGATCGGGGAGTGGAAATGGTAAGGAGGATTGAAAAGAGATGCTGCATGGGCTTAGAAGGGGAAAGTTCCCTTATTCCCACTTGTGGGTCATTGCTCTCTCAGAGCCACAAAGGAAACCGAGGAGCTGCCGAACAGGCAACAGAGAAGAAATTAAACGAGAAGGGGGAAAGTCAAAGACAGCTGCGTGGCCCAGGGTGGTTGAAAGCAAAGGCTGAGCATCTTTGAAATCCAGATCGCTAGACCTCAGTTGGCAAGGTCCAACTTTTAGAAGAAATTAAGTAAATAAAAGGGAAACATTAAGCTGTAGTGACATTCTAGAGGAAACGAAAAGCAAGCAGTTCACATCCCCTTTTCCTCCATCAGCCTGGAACTAGGGGAAAGGTCCGGTTCTAATAAGTTACCCAGGAGGGAGATTGGTCATTGCACAACTGGAAAGACTAGAAGCTTCTCCAGAGACCCTCAGAGTCCTTCTCATCTAGCCCCAAGTCCTCTTCATACAAACACTGATATTGCGATTCCAGTCCAAGTGAATCAGTTTTTGTGAGTGGAATCCACATCCCTATTTTATAAGGTTTTCCAGGAGATTTGAAAGTGCAGCCAGGGCTGAGGCTGCAGCTCTGGATGCTGATGAACAGAAACTCCACAAGGGCTGGAATTCTTGAATGTTTATTTTCTGCTGCATACCCCAGCATCTAGCACAGAATCTGGCTCGTAGGAGAAATGGAATATATATTTACTAAATGAAAGGGCAATGGGGGAAACAAGGCATTTCTGTAACAGATAAAAGTATGAACACTTTGGGAGGCCGAGATGGGTAGATCACTTGAGGTCAGGAGTTCAAGACCACCCTGACCAATAAAGTGAAACCCCGTCTCTACTAAAAATATAAAAATTAGCCGGACATGGTGGCAGGCGCCTGTAGTCCCAGCTACTCAGGAGGCTGAGGCAGGAGAATTGCTTGCGGGAGGCGGAGGTTGCAGTGAGCCGAGATTGTGCCTCTGCATTCCAGCCTGGGTGACAGAGCAAGATTCTGTCTCAAAAAACAAACAAACAAAAACCAAAAACCAAAAAGAAGTCTGTATATAATTAGGCCATTCAAGGCATCTGTGGAGGGGGTCACCTCCCAGAGCCCTGCTGCCGGTCACTTTCGTCCCTCATTGTTCTGGCAGTGGTAGACACACAACTCGTTCCCAGCTCTTCCTGGGTGTAAAGGGGAAATTGTATCTGCGGAACCAGCAATTGTCTACAGAGAGTGGCCTCAGGGAGGCAGAATGATTCCCTTTCCATGGGCAGGGCTTCCTGAAGGTCTCTTTGTGTCCTGGAGGAAACCCCTTTGTCCTGTCTCCATCCTTCTCTGGCACTGGTCAACACTGACTTGGAGAGGTTGAACATCAAGAAATGAAACCGTCAAAAGGGAGGGCTTAGGCTGAAAGGACAAAACTAAACACATGCTAAGCTGGAGACTCAACTGGATCCTGAATGAATTGGGATCACTCAGGGAAATGTTGATTGAGCACACACCAAGGGACCAGATTTGCATTGGAGGTTGAGGAGACAAAGGGAAGTAAGGCTGGGACTCTGCCTCTAAAGAGTGGGCCAGTGGCAGGGTGGCAAAATCATCCGATGTCAAGGCTAGCCCTAGAATTGACACTAAGCCAAATGTTAGTCCAGCTTCCCACCTCCACCCATCTCTTTCCTCTCTTCCAAGCATCAGAAGTCCTGTATCCAAAAAGGATCTGCTCTTAATGGAAGCCCAAGATGTAAATCCAACCAAAGCACAGTTACTCTGCATAGGGGGAAAGTCCTGTCCTCTCACCTGCTCTTTACCTGTCCCTCCATTCTTCCCCCTCAAAAATGCTTTCCTTAAGTCTTTGGAGGCTGAGAACCCAGGTTGCATGCCTTTGCTCTGAATAACCTGGTATTTCTAGATTCAGGTTGTTTAGCTGACACTAAATCAACAATGCTAGCACCAAGGAGGATCTAATTTTCCTCCTCTGGCTTCCTGAGATAGACGGTGTGACAGTATGGCTTTCAAAGGAGACGAGGCTTAAGTCACCAGTTTTTACCATCTGCACGGAGCCAGCTGTGGGTTGTTGTCCTTCTCCACCAGTGGCTGAGAAACAGTCAAGGCCCTTTCTGGTGGCCTTCTCTTCCTCCTTGCTCCTGCTCAGAGTCCGGTCAGTGATGAGTTTTATGAAAATGAAGGATGTCCTTCTCCCAGAGTCAGGAGCCCTGTCCCTTTAGCTGATGGATGACAGATGTCACATGAAGGAAAGCTGAAGAGGAACCCTGGGCGTGGACTTAGGTCACTGAGTTAGTTTGATGGAGACCTCAGTATCTCATCAGGACATAGGCTGAGAGCGGCTGACATCAGCTGCCTTTCTTCTGTACCACTCAGTGTTGAGAGCTAGTAAAACAATGTATTTGGCTGGAGCTGTAGCCAGTCTGCCACCTCAGTCCCTACTCTGTACTCTAGCAAGAGCGCTTCAGCCAGATGCTGAGAGACCAGTGGAGCAGCGTACTGTTAACTCACGTGAGACAGCGCTGTGTGTCTGCATAAAACCTTGAGCTAAGAGAGATGTTGGGATTTCACTGAGTGTGTCTCCCTGTTTCTAGTGAGCACCATGGCATAGGAAAAGAAAATATGTGGGAGTAGGACAGGCCTTAATTCAAATCTTGACAGTGCTCCTGATGAACTCAACAACTTTTTTCTCTTCTTTTTTTTTTTTTCAAGATGGAGTCTTGCTCTGTGGCCCAGGCTGGAGTGCAGTGCCGTGATCTCCGTTCACTGCAACCTCTGCCTCCCAGGCTCAAACAATTCTCCAGTCTGTCTTCTGAACACAAGCCACTAACAGCCAGCTAATTTTTGCATTTTTTGTAGAGACGGGGTTTCATCATGTTGCCCAGGCTGGTCTCGAACTCCCGAGCTCAAAGCGACCCATCTGCTTTGGCCTCCCAAAGTGCTAGGATTACAGGCATGAGCCACCCAGCAGATTCAACAAGTTTTGGCAAGTACTTTCGTATCCTTTACACTCATTTTTCACATCTGTAAAATGGGGATGACATTATTTACTTGGCAGATTTGTGGTGAGGAGTAGATCTTAGAAACTCAGCTGTTTGAAATTCTGTGAAATTATTATTTCTATTGGGCTCTGAAGTCTTTGAAAGGACAGATGGTATTTTCTTTATCTTTGTATACTTAACCTCTAATATAGTAAATATCTGGCACATAGTAGCTACTTAAATGTAACTTTTCAGAAAACTCTGCCCCAATACTTCATCTAAATAAGTATCCCCTTGTTATTCATTATATTATTTTCCTTTATAGTCCCTGAAATGATATAGTATTTGTATATTGTCTACTTTTTCACTAGACTGTAATTTCCATGAGATTAGTAATCTTGTCTGTCTGGGTGGCCAGAGTCTAGAGCAATGCCTGCTAAGAGCAGATGCTCAAAATGTATTTGTGGAATGGAAACATAAATGAATGGTAGTTGCTTAATTATTACTAGTAGTGGCAGTGGTTTACACGGTATCAGAACCAACACAAAGGGATGCCTTTAGTCATCTTTGCGAAGCTCACCAGAAAGGATGACAATGATCAGAAACCTTTCAAGTTTCCTCCTCACAGAATTCTGCCTGGGAACCTTTATTAAGGATGGCCGATTTCACCAGGCCTCCACCAGGAGGCCCTTTATGCTAAACTGAGCAGAGTGAATGTTTTATGACGTGGACAAGGGCTGCCTCAGAGCCTGAACTGGGGCCATCTGGGGGGAGTGGGGTGGGGCCACACCCTCTCCCTGGGCTCTGCACCACTGAAAGGCTCCAGACGGCTGGCTCGGGCCCTGGGCCAAGCTGCTTGGTTCCAGTGGGAAAGCTGACCTTGGCCAGGAAGAAGCAGGAAGAGGCACAAATGACTCATTGTCCCACATCCTCCAAGGTAAAAACCCAGCAGTGTGTGTGGCCTTTAGGGCTGGATGTTATTGCAGCCTTGGCTCTTTCCTCAGCCAAAATAAAAGCACTCGGCCAGTAACACTTGCACAGCCTAGGATACAACCAACGGCTCTCTTCCGTTGTTCTATTCAACACACTTCCCTGCACTTAGTTTTAAAACATCGTGCACATAACATTATGATTTCAGTTCTAAATGTAAACCATAATTTCTTTTTAAAGACGTACGGCAGCCTTCATTTCCAGACAAGGCATGTGCCATTTTAGGGTCCCGGGGAAGAAATACGATATGCTTTCAGGTCACGTGTGAAGGAGGTCTCACCGGAAAGTGCTTAGTTTATTTTATTCAGAAGTTTGGAATCTAAAGCACTGATTTGTAAGATGTGCTGCTGCCTCCAGATTTCCACTAGAGGGCAGTCTTGGAAAATGTTTATAGATACATATTTTATTGCTATGTCTAGGAAATGTGTCTTGCTTTTAAAAGGAACAAACAAACAAAAAACCCATGTAAAATTTAGGGCAAGCTCTTTGGCTCCACTTGGAACGATTCCTCATTCTTCCAGAAGGAAGCCGGGGAGCATGAAGGCAGCTGCTTCCCTCGTCTCCATCCCTTTGTCCACATGGGATGCAGCTGGCTGCCCAAGCTGTGAAGCTGGCCTTGGCGCCCAGATCCCTGTCTTCCCACACCCGCCTCGGGCCAGCCCTAGTGGGCAAGGAGAGGCACCTTGGAAGGGAATGCGGGTTCCTGATTTAGGGGCCCCTGGTTTAAATTCGGCCTTGGCTGAGATCCTCTCCGTGGAGTCCCATCTTCTGCCCTTCCCTCACAAGCTAGCAGTGGCCGGAAATTCTCAGAAAAGAGCCAGGAAGGGTCAGAGGGTGACTGGGGAGTACACAATTAAAAATAGGCCTTCCAGGCAGGCAGCCATGGAGATCTCACTCGATATGTAAATAAGTGTAAATAAGACAGGCCAAGTCTTGGCACTGCAAGGACACGGCACATTTTGTGCAGCCAGGGTTGTCTGGGGCAATGGTAAGCACTCCCCCCGCCTTTTTTTTTTTTTTTTTCTTTCTTCTTTTTTTTTTTTTTAGAGAGGCCAATTTAAGGAAAAATTATAATATATATAATATATAATATTTTTTCACCCAAGAAGAAAATAGCTTTACTGGGCTCCATTGGTGGTGGTGGGAAGGACAGATCATTCCTACAACTTGAATTTCTTACTTGATGAATAGAAGAATGTCAACAGAGAAATTAGACCTGCTTTATAGCCACAACAACCTTATTTCTGGAGCATATTTGATACACAGTACTCAACTTTCCCATCTCTGACATTTGTGTCATCCTTTAGAGTCTGTATCACTGAGTCATGCGAGTGACCTCATTTCATCCTGGACACAGCCCTGTGTGGGTGTCATCATCACCAGCCCCATTGTAGAGAAGGACACCAAGCCCAGGGAGGAGGAGAGATTTCAACAGGGTCCCACAGCACTGGCGGTGGGGCTGGGGCCAGAATCAGTTCACCTCTCCTACATCATGTTTTACTGGGCATCTGCTGTGCACTGGACTCGGGGCTCGGTGTGAACAGGATGCTGCCTCTTGCCTTTCCTCGGAAACAGGCTCTGTGAATGTCAAGGCAAGCCCCTTGACTTCCCTTGGAACTACTCATTCTTCCAGAAGCTCAGCTAGAGGAGGAAGCTGGAGAGCGCAAAGGCACCTGCCACCTCTTGCACGCGTAGGGGTCTCGGAGTAGCAGGGGCTGCTCTGTGCGAGGGGCTGGGCGAGCAGGGGTGCACTCCCTGGGAGCAGCAGGGCCTTCCAGACGGCCATGGCGGTCTGGCCATGGCGGTCTCGGGCGCTCCGACCTCAGCCTGCATCTCCGCCCCGCCCCTCTTGGGGGCATCCCTTCTGTGCACGCCCACGTGTGAGCAGAGAAGCAACTCTCAGAAACCTTCTGTGTGTTCAGGAAATGTGCGCGGGCGGCTTGTTCCCTTTTGCTCTGTCTGGGGTGAGCCTAGAGGTTGCATCTCAAAGTAGACTGAGGGTTCTTTGGGAGAAGTCAGGTGTGCCCGGGGTAGCCCTGAAGAGTTCCTCTGTGATCTCAAGGCTAAGGCAGCAGAGAACATGGAACAGGCAAACAGTAGGGGGGCCACAAGGTGTGTCCTGCAGACCGCCCCTCTTACTGGACTCCATTCTGGGTTTTTCTCAATGAGCGCGGAGCTGCTCCTGCTCAGCCTGTTGGCGGAAGTGGCGCCATATGCTGGACTAGTGACTGCGCATGCGGATGCGGAGCCTCGCCCATGACGCTCAGTGCGCAGGCAATCTGTATTCAAAATGTCTGGTGGATGTGAAGAGCAGCAGGTACAATAGGGGTTGTCTCTCTTTAATAATACCAGTGTGTCGGCCAGAGGGTAGGAACAGAAAAGATGCATCAGGGGAGTTTGTGGACTTCTTTTGCAAGATTGCTTCAGAAAACTCTGAGGAGGGCAGTAAGAAATTGGGGAGGGGAGACAGGCAGGAGCAGAGGCCCTGGCCCTGTTGCCAGTGCTCCTGGGAGCGCTTCTGTGCGGCCCCTGTGCTTCGGTTTCTTCTCCCCAATTCATCTATATAGGGTGTGGGATGGAGCTCAGGTCGGGGGACCACTGGCTGCATCCTAACCAGCCCAGTGTAGGGGGCAGAGAGAGGAGGAGAAAATAGGTATCCCTGAGACAGAAACATGACAGTGAGCTCCCTGGCTCTTCACTCCTAGGAATTGCTTAGAAGTTTCCACCACACACCTCGGCCAGGTTCCCACAAAAGCTGTGGGAACCACCACTCCACCCTCAGGGCCTGTCCACTGTTCTGCCCGCTGCACTCAGCAGAGGGGAAGATGCAGGCGGTCCCGTGCTGATCAAAGGAATCTCTGGACTGCAAACTCCCTGGGGACGGACCCAAACTGATGAGTGGGCTTGTCTGTCTAGACCCAGAGACCCTCGGGAGGACTGAGTGTTTCTGGAATGATCCAGGATGGGGCGTTCTGTAGCAATTCCCCCGAGGAATTACACAGGACACCTCTGATGATGAAATCCTCCAAGGGCCAAGAATGAAATTGCAGAGTGCTGTCAGGTTTCACGGCCCCGGAGAAGGAGAGGGAGTTCGGAAATGTGGAGCTGAATAAAACTATGCTCTGGATTTGCTAGAACAACCCAGAGGTGGCTGAGTTCCTCCCACTAGGGGGTTATGGTAAGAAAAAAAATGTACTGAGTATTTGGAGGATACTTTTCTGAGGATGTGGGAAGGCATGTCTGTGCACAGGAAGGGAAGAAGGGTCTTTTCAAACTTGCAGTGCCTTCAGATTGGTGGCTTAGATGGTTCTAGGAGGGAGGAAGAGAGAGGTCTCTAATGTGTCTCATTCGAAGAGTTGTTTGGTGAAGGCCACTCTGCCCTGCCCCGCTTACCCTGTTCAGTAGCCTGAGCCTTCTGTGTGGACATAGCCCCAGCTCAGCCCTGCCCAGTTGAGGTTTCTCTGGACTGTAAAGGAGTGAGCTCATTCAAGGCGTCACTGTGGAGTCTGAGATGAGTAGCATGACAGGACACTCCAGGACCAGGCAGGCGACTGTTGGCATGAACAGGCTGGCCCTCCCTACATGAGTGCTCTTGGGCAGAGCACTAGGGGATCAGCCGTCCAGAGCCAAGCTGTCTTTACCTTGCCATATCAGCAAATATCAGCAAAGGGCCATATCACTGTGGCCCTTCTGGGAGGGAGGTTGTTTATTGAGGAATCAGATCCATGTGTGAACTCCCACTCCCTGCAGTCTGCAAGTCCAACCCTGTGCCTTTGGGCATCTCTAGGAAGGACTGAGTTACTGTGGGGTACTGGGTGGAAGGACTGGAGAGGTGAGGTGGACTCTGTCCCGAAGGTTCCTCTGGAAATTAGTTTCCTTTATTATTACAGTGTTGAAAATTTTGAGGCACTTAAGTGATTGAACCCAATTTAGGGCCAAGGATAAAAATGTTCGCTGTAGATATTTTTCTGTTGTGATTTTGGCTGACCTTATTTCCGTGCTGCAGAATGAGATTTTCTCAGTTGTTCCATTACCTCAAACTGCTTGTTAAACAATGTCTTCGGAGAGGGGGGGAACCCAAAAACTGGCTGATTAATAAAGTGCTCATGAAAGGGGTGAGACACGGGAGCTGTCAGACCCACACACAGAGATGCCAAAATGTGGACTCGGCCCGACCTCGGAGACCTGCCTTGACACTGTGTGACTTTTGTACGACTTCTCTGTCTCCACAGAGTCGAGATCTGCTTAGTGCCAAGTGTGATGTGGACAATTGCCTGCTGGATGGAGACAGAAACTCATTTCCCATCTGTCAAGCAGCCTGACACAGAGTTGGTAATGATTTTCTGTCAGGCGAGGCCTGGCTGGATTTGAACCCATGACCCAGAGGTAACAGGGCCTGATGTAGGGCTCCCTTTACAATAACCGGCTGCCTGTGCCTTGTTACTCCCAGCCCAGGACTCTCTCTCACATCTGCCCATGCTTTCTCCTCATGCAGCTGAAGTTTGGTTAGATCCTGACTTAGCACTGGGGCTAAGTGATTGATGTCCCTGGGCAAGCAGAAGATGCATTAGTGTCTCAGGGAATGGGAAATGAAAGGTGGAAGAAAAACGGGATGGTAGGGCTGCGGTGTGATTAGCATGAGGCCAAAAGCCGTGTGCTCCTGTGAAGCCAAGGTCTGACCCTCTCAGGATCTTTGCAGCCTGTCGGCCAGCCAGATGGCTCCCATACAAAAGCCACCAGATGTGTGGGTCTGGAGTAATACTGAGTCTAGATTCTCTGGGTGTCAACTATTCTGGTGCTGAAATTGTCATTATTCATACCGATTGTTTTCATGAAAAAAGAGTCCCTTTCAGGAGCATCCATAGATGATTAACATGATGATCCCCCATTCACTGAATGATAATTAAGAGTCACACACCCGTCTCTGAAAATAGTGCTTCATAGGTGGAAAGTATCTGTCCTCCAGAATCAGAAAAGCAAACTGGAGGGCCTTAAAGGTTAACTCATTATTAAACATTTATTGAAGTTTCTCCTAGCAGACAAGTGTTCTATCAGGGTTATAGACATAAACAAAATAACGTTCCCGTTGAAGAAATTAATCATTTGGAGGGGAAGAGACATGTTGACAAAGAAAACCTGGCACAACCTGATAAGTCATATCAACAGTAAGTGAAGAAATTCAGTAGCCAGTTGAAAATGAAGGCCTATGTCTCACGATGTTGGGAAGCGCAGAGGGAGCCTGGGAATTAGAGCAGAGGTAAAGTGAAGGGAAGCACAGGTGTTGGCCACATCAGAGACGCAGCTGGAATCTAGGTTTTCCCACTTATAAGCTGTGGAACTTGGAACCTAAGTCTCATGGACCCTCCACATTCTAATCTGTAAAATGAGAATAATTACACCAATGTCAAAAATTGTTATAAGGATTAAATGGGTAAAGCATCCATCAGAGTGTCTGGCACCTTGTAGGTGATTGATAACTGTCAGCAAAGGGCTTTATGAATTGGACAGGGGCAACACTGGAGGAAAAAAGAATAGCTGGGAAAGGTATTTTTAAGACAGTAGTAGTGGGAAGCAGAAGAGGGTAGAGGTAAAAAGGGGTTTTGCAGATGGAATCAATAGAATTTGGTGACTAACTGGATATAAAAAGTGGGACGTGAAGGTTGAGGGGGAGGAGAGCCATGTGGTTGCTTTGCCTACAGAGGAAGCTGGTGGAGAAGATGGAACATAGGGAAAGAAAGAAGTTATTGAATTTTCACTCAGGACATGTGGGGTTAGAGGTGCCTGAAGATACCAAGTGCAATTAAAAATATGGGCTCAGGGCAACAGATTCGGGAGGTCTTGCTGGTTTACAGAAAGTGGCTGACATGCAAATGGCTCAGATGTTCCCACTGGGAGAACACAGGGTATGGGAAGAAGGATCTGAGAGCCGATTTTCCAGAAATGGTAACACTAAAAGGGTTAGCAGAAAAGGGGGCCTTGAAGGGTACAGCCAGCCATTCCTGGGTTATGGTGGCAACTGATGGAGTGGAAAGGTGACAATTCATCCTGGACACAATTAGAGAAGAAGGTGCAGCCCTCTGGGAGGGCCGTGACCACCAAGCAACTGCCCTAGGGGCAGCCCCGGAGTTGGAGCTCCTCTCTGACAGGTGTTAGGCAATTGGAGTCAATGAGGGTAGCTCTGTCTGTCAGCCGCATTACCAGATAGTTCTCAGCTGGCATTTGGAGGAGTTGGGCAAAATCTCTACTTGGAGTTCTTTAGAGTAGGCGGAAAAAGGCAAGCAACAACAGTGGGCCTGGAGGACTTTCCATATGCACTTACCCCTTTGTGTTCTTGGGGAGGCCTGCTGGAAGCCAGGGAGGCCTGTTGCTGCAGTCATCTTAAAATCCAGAATCCAGTGTCTTCATTAACTAATGAAGTGAACACTCACACCTTGGTCACTTCCCGACTTGATTAGTAATATTTAATGGGCACCATCATTGATCTTTTGCATAGATTAGAAGTCATGCAGAATAGAGCCTGACATCTGCCAACACACTTCTGACTCCACACGCCCAATATGGTTGCCCATTCATTGTTGAATAGCAATCATAGCTGACACTTATTGAGTTCTTGCCAGGCACGGTAACAAGTTGTTTGCTGGAATTATCTCATTCGACCCTAATAACAATCCTATAATGTTACATAATTCTCAGATTGGCTTCATAAGCAGATAAGTGAACTCTATAAGTGACAGTTGGCTCCTTCTTAGGCATGCACAGGACTTCGCAGGCGTGGACATAGATTAGCTGCTAAGAGGGAGGGGGATTGTCAGAATGCACCACACATGAGGTAATAATAGCAGTGGGGCCCAGAGTTGGAAGTCTTGGTAAACATTTATTTGTGGAAAAGAAACTGAGTAAGTTCTAGCCATGTTGGCAAAACCAGCCCGGGTGACCACGCTGACAGCAGTGCTCTGTGAGCACACAGAATCAGAGTCCAGAACTTCCAGCAGTGAGCACAAGTCAACATGGTTGCAAAAATTTCAAGTTTGGAATAGCAGATAACAAGGAAATGATCCATTTCTAGGGTGGAGGGCAGGGTCCATTTCCTCATCACCTTGTCTTCTACTACCAGTGAACCATGAGACCTGGTATGTATGTCAGCAACCCAAGGCTCTTTCCTTCCAACTGTCTGGAATTTCTGAGTTGTAGGGCTTTTGACTCACTCCACATGAAGAGAGAACATCCTGTATTAAAACTTTCATTGCAGAGCTCAAGGAGTTCAGAATCATTGAGACTTTCCAGAATTTTAGCACATGAGAAAATAAGATCTTCCAAGAACTGTGAGGTTTTCGGGCTGTCATGGAGTCTACTTAGTGGTTAGACATGTGGGCTCTTGGAGTCGGGAAAAGTTGAATTTGAACCCCAACTCCACCACTGAAAGAGTTGTGAGGCTTGCATTCCCTACTTACTTTTTGCCTCGGTTTCCTTACTTGTTCAATGCAGATAATAATGGTACATATCCTACTATGGTTGTTGAAAGAATTAAATGAAAAATTCGAGTAAAAATTTAGTACTGGCCTGTCGTGTAGAGGTATGCTGGGGTCTTGTGAGAGCCAATGGTGCACATCTCTTCCTAACTCTGCCTTCAGCAGAAGCGTGCTGGTAGCTTGAAACCAGCCCAGGCAGGAGCATTTATGCTCTAGCAACTGGCAAGTGCTGCAAATCAGAGCAACTAGTATGAATTGTAGCAACTGTCGTTACAATCCCCCATTCCATCTGAATATGTATTAACTTATATTTGGATGTAATGGTTTGAGAATGAATTCTATGTTCTGTGGGAAGTATTCTCTCCCCAAAATTTCCAGGAGCTTCCATTCTTCTGATCATCTCATGCACAGAATTCCTGCCTATGACTTGGTGTCTTTATTACTGGAATGCTTGCTTCCTCTCCTCCATATACCCTCTTGGTGGATGCGGAACGTTTTACTTCATTTTCTCCCAAATGAACAAAAAGCTCTGATGTGAGGCAGATTTTCATTAAAATTTTTTTTTTTTTGAGTGGGGAGGAAGTTGGGGGACACACGTGTCTTAGAACTGCAAAAAGTGCAAATAACTTAAACTAATAATGCTGCTGCTGATGGCAACCACTGCCACTACCGCCACCGTCACCACTCACACAGGTCACTAAGTATGTGCCAGGCCTGCTCCTAAATGCTCTGTGTGTATGAATGTATCTAGTCGCTGTCTTCTGGAGGCCCTTGCCATTATTGCCATCAGACATTCCTGTGTCTATCCTCTTCAGTCTTCAGCCATACTGCTAAACAGTCTACTGCTAAAGGCTTCTACTTCTCTTTTTTCTACCCTTCTCTCCATTCTTGAACGCCTCAGCCCTTCTTCCCATGCTGTCTACTCCCACCCCAAATTCCGCTCACCTCACTTTGTAGAACAACTGGATTCTTGTCTTGCCTTCACCCACCTAGGTTGTGCTTAAGGCTTCCTCTTTCTTTCTCATGATGAAAAAGATGTTTTTCTTGACCAAGTCCGATAGCCTAGACATGACTTATGCTGTTCCCTCAAGTAGAAGGAGAGGTCACACCAGTTTGTGTTACATGCTTATTATAACCCCTCCAAAATGTGATAAAAGTAAAATGTAAAATTATACACCACCTCTGCATTCCTACTTCCTTGAAGTAGCCACTGTGTAGTCTAAAAATTGTTCAAATGCTCCTACTTAATAATTTTGTGGCTTTGGGCGTGCTACTTAGTCTGTGATTCAGTCTTCTCATCTGTGAAACAGGGATACTACTACCTATATCATAGAGTTGGTGAGGGTAAAATGAGATAATGTTCAGTGCCTGGAAAAGTACCAGGGATAAAGGAAGAGCTCAATAAATGGTAGTTATCCTTCCAAATGTTTTCAAAGCATGTAGTGTCCCTATACATATGTAACATTTTAGTTAATGAAAATATCAGATCTGTAAAAATAGGATTCAAAAATGCGTATTTTTTTCCTGAAATTTACTTTTCCCTCTCCCTTAACAATATACTGCTATTCCAAGGTAGTCTACCCTTATTCCTTTAAATGGGTCCAAATGTTCTAAAGAATGCACCATTGATTATTTAAACACTTCCCTGAATGGGGGAATTTGGGTGGGTTTTTGGTCTTACCAATACTCTGAACACATCCTTGTCAGTGGACTCTTGTGCACTTATTTCTGCAGGGTAGACTCCCAGAAATGCAAGAGTTGGGTTGAAGGGCGCACATATTTAAGCTTTGGATAGTAGTGTTAAATAGCCCACCACACATTCCATCTCATTTATAGTCCCACTACAGGGCAGAAGTGCCCTCTTCCACACTCCGTCAGTATTTGAATATTATGGAACTTTAAACTTGTTGTCAATCTTTTTCATAAGTGAAAAATAGTATCTCATTTAAATGTACATTTCTCTGATCCATGGTAAGTTTGTATATTCTAAAATGTCTATTATCCATTTTTATTTTGTCTTCTATAAATTAGCCATTTATATCATTTGCCTGTTTTTCTGCTGTACTTAAAAGTCAAATACTCCCTTCTCTCTCCCTGACATTTAGGGTACAGTTTGTGCGGGACATACCTGAATCCTCATACTGCCTCATTCCAAGTTCAGAAGCGTGTGCTCGCCTAGATGAGAGGGAAGTGGAAGTGATGATGCTTGTCAGGTTATATAGGCATCTCGGGGAAGACGGCTTTTTCAGGCTTCCCATGGCCATTGCAAATAGATCTTAGAGCACATTTGGAAAGTTAGAGAATGAACAGAGCTAGCTACACTTGTGTGAATTTTGGGATTGGGGAGAGAAGAGAAAAGATGGGAGGTGGGCACGGAGAGTGGGTAACAGGGAAGGTGGACGGAGCCTCTGGGGAGGGAGGGGTGGTCAGTGAGAAATTCCAGATGGCAGGTGGCTGGGAAATAGGCAGGCGCAGGATGTCCAGTAGTCATTTAAGTTTGCACATCCCCAGGCTGGGTGTGGTGGCTCATGCCTGTAATCCTAGCACTTTGGAAGGCCGAGGTGGGCAGATTGCCTGAGCTAAGGAGTTCGAGACTGGCATGGGCAACATGACGAAATCCCATCTCTACTAAAAATACAAAAAATTAGCCAGGCGTGGTGGCAAGTGCCTGTAATCCCAGCTACTTGGGAGGCTGAAGCAGGAGATCGCTTGAACCCGGGAGGTGGAGGTTGCAGTGAGTCGAGATCATGCCACTGCACTCCAGCCTGGGCGACAAGAGAGAGACTCCATCTCAGGAAAAAAAAAAAAAAAAAAAGGTTTGTACATCCCCAGACATTCAGTGTGTTGAGACTTCTGTAGCGATCAAGTAACTGGAGCTGAATTTCATGTCTGGGTGGATGGGGTGCACGGAAGAGAACAGCCGTGGAGTTTGAGATGCTGGAGAGTTCAGGAGTGGGTGGAGAGCTGGGAGAGCCCATTTCAGGTCGTTTGGATGAGGACCCTATGATTCAGCATGGCCCTGTGATTTCAGTGCCTTTGCTTGCACTCATGTTGACAACCACACTGCACCCTGTTAGAGTGACAGCATTCAATACACAGAGTTCAAACAGAGTTTCTCATAATCAGGTTTGAAGAGAAGTTCTCCAGAGTCTACAAATGTTTTTTTCCCTTTAAATGGGTTTTGCATTTTACTCACATTTGGGAAAAACTGTCCTATAGTGCAACTAAGATTTGTTAAAGAAAATCTTATAAGACCTTTCATATATTGTCTGTATACAACCCAATGATGATGATAATTTTTATCTGGTTTTTAAAGTAAGTACATCAGAATTTCTATAAGGAAATCTTGTATTTTTATGTATATAAAGCTTTCATCAATTCAGATTGATCTAACTTGATTTAGCTTAAATTACTGAGGGTCTATTGTTCTGTCAAGGCATGCAAGATGAAAGTTGCTTGCATATCACACCTGCAGTCTTGCCTTGGAGAGTTAGTATTTACACAGCTATGAAGTAATATATTCCTATGAGGAGCACAAGGCAGTGCTTCACAGTTTATTCACAATAGGAATTGTAGTAAAAGAGTCAGTTTTCCCTATAAATTAATAATACCCAGTATAGAGAAGAGTGCTTGTAATTGTGATGGTTCATGTCCTACCTATTAAGATCACTATCTGAAAAGTCAATACACATTTTTGGCTACTACTTTGAGCCAGGCATTTTGTGAGGCACAGTAGGAAAACAGAAATGTTTACTGCACTGGAGGAGACAGCAATTTAAACTACGCAGAGGTTTTAGAAGACTTGAGGGACATGTTGTAAGGACACATCAAAGGAAGCAAGTCTGGCACTGGCTTGGGAAGGCTTCATGGAGGAGGTGACATTTTTGTCAGGCTTCCAGGGGAAGAGGATTTCTATGCCAAGAAGACAGCAAAGACAAGAACACAAAGGTATGAAATTCTATACAGGGTAACTTGCTCATCAAAGAAACACTGGGGTTGGGAATGGCACTATAAAGTTTATCATTCCTATTTCTCAAAACTGAAATTCAGATCATCTACATTTTGTCCCTTCTGCTGCGTATGTTTTCCTTTTGGTCCTAAACCCTGCTGCAGAGAAAGTATCTCTCATCAAAAGGCAAGGGCTACCTCTAGATTTTAACATCATGGTGTGGTGGAGGTACTCCCAGAAATACCCAGGAGACTATGAAGTTTATGTATATGTAACGACAAATGATATAACGGTGCTGAAATGAATCAAGAGAAATCTAAAGACACTAGGAAGGCATCACAAGGCCATCTGGAAATCACATTAAAAATAAGCCACAGTTTCTTTTGTGATTTCTGAAACATTTCTTTGTTTAATCATATAATTATTTTCATCTTCCAGTCATCATAAATAATCCACTTTATTACTTAACCAGTCCTTTTGAAAAAATTTGGTATTTAGCATAAACAAACACTGAACATTAGCTAGAGGTGTGTTAATTTTTAACAGAACAGGGAAGAATTTTTAAAAACCCACAAAAATTTGAATACTAAGAAAAAACATGAAAATACCAACATTATCACCCATTAAAAAATCAAATTTTGTAACAACCATTAAAAAAAATCCAGGTGGAAAAATGAGTAAACATAAATATAATCTAATGTATTTCTTTCATAAATACGTTTAGACAAAATAAATGCATAAAACAGATAGCTTTGCAGTGTATAAACGTAACAAAATACTTAAGCTCTGAATAATTAAATCCCAATAAGCATGAATTAAAAATAAATTTTGATTATATTTTTTGTTCTTTATGAAAAAATATGCCAAGGAATTTGTGTAAAAAAAAAAAAGAAATTGGCATAAACATTATCACTAAAGCCACCAAAGTTCACTATGTAAAGATTATTTGAAAACAAAACACATTTTTTAAAGCAAAAGATAAAATGTTATCATAGCATTTTCAGTTGAATTTTATCCCATGATCACACCTACTATAGGTGTTAGACAATAGAGGTAGATAAGTTGGGGGCGGGGATCAGTATTCTAATGTTAGAGAGAAAGATTTTTATGATAGGGCAGATAGATGACAGACAGACAGACATTTCCATTTGCTCCAAAATTCAAAGAAACTTGTAGGAACAAAACATAAGAGCCTTTCTGTGCTCCATAGGTAAACACAATTACCTAAGCAAAATGACTGTAGTTTTAGACACAAGTAAAATTCTTTATAACAGTGTATACTACAGCCTGGTTAGCACAGATTTTTGCAGGGTCTGGCATTAGCCTTAAAATTCACACTGAGAATAACTCACATGAAATTTCTTTCAATGACATTGACAAAAGATGAGACCTGGTAGTAACAATAATATAAATTTACACTGTAGATAAACTTGGTTAAGTTTCTAAGGAATGATTTTTTGTTGTGGACATAACAACAAAACAACAAAGAACAGCTGCTGAGGACATAGCACGGCCTCAGTGAGACCCAGGATACCAATATTGTCTATCAAATCAAGACAGGACGTGTAAGAGGATGTGACAGGACGGCATGGAGGAAACACAGAAAAGTGTTCCTGTAGTTCTATACGTGGCTTCACTCTCTACTTCGGTCCAGTTACAGTTCTTGCAGTTACAGCAGAAGCAAATATTGGATACTCATTTGAAAGCTGCTGCCCAATTGGGAACTGATTTTACTTGATATTTTGGTTATTAAATGGTTTTGCATGTTCTTTTCATGTGGTGAGACAGAATGTGTATATGTAACATTTGTTTGCATCTATGACCTTTATATTTTCATTTATTCATAAGAGCAATACGATTTAACTTTTAAAAAATATTGCCAACATTTGTCAGATCTGCCAAGGAGATTTTCATTAATAAATTGTCTCGAATGCCTTAAGTGTGCTGAATTCCAGGATGGAACAGGCTGCTTTTGGCTAACAGGGGCAATCTGGAAAGTGCTCAGCACATCTGTGTAACAGGAAAAAAATTTTCGTCTGGGTTGTGGAATGTGAATAGAATCTACCATTAATTGTTGCTGCTTTCAAACTGATTGTAACATTTTTGTGCCTCATATTTGGCTATTATGAGTGTGTAACTGTAAGAAAGAAATTATTGAATAAAGAGGAAGAACATATTAAGATATATTTTAAAGACCCTGAAAATCAAGTCACAGAGTTTAACTCAAAATTTCACATAATTTCACTCATAACTCAAACATTCAGGCCCTTTCTTTGAAGCAGCTTATAATAAATTTAAGACATATAATGCCACAATCTCTCATAATGGGACTGAGAAATTTCTGTGTGGAAACTATTTGAAGGAATGTCTTTAAAAATGATGTCAAGGAATGCATATATCTTACGCTTTTCAGCATCTATTCGATCTATGACCCCCGCTGAGTTGATAAGGAAGAGGCATGTCACAGTCGTAGAAAAAAAGAATCACACAGTAAATCAAAGTATGCGTGAATAAGACTTTGGAAATTTTCACTGTCATCAGAAGGGCATTTTCTTGATGGTGTGACCTCATTTCAAACATTACAGTAACTATTATAGGGTTGTATTGCACCAAGGTGCTGCAGGGAAAGCATGTTTGCTTTTTGTCACTTACCATGACTGATTCCTGCATTAGGAAAAAAAAAAATTAACCCCTAAATATTGTATCACCCCTGGCAGTAATCAACAAAGCATATTTTGGAAATAACGCTCTTGTCAAATACATTTTAAGGCACTTAAACAAGTATATCATATTTTTATGTAAAAAAATAAAATATGCATTGAGGCAACATTCACAAGTACAAGTCTTCAGAATTGCTAGTATGTACAATCCTGTACATATATACATTGCTACAGAAAGTCCACCTCCTTTGTTATACTGTTGGCCTTGTCAGCTTCACTCCCTACAAGGAAGGAAAACATGTTCAGAGTTGGACAGTATCCATGAGCAAAGTGAAAGCATCAATTAACACCAGATAATTTATGCTACTAGAAGGAAGAAGAGGCCCACCCAGATGGCATCATAAAACCAATAATCCAAACCTCTGGATACAAACAGATTTCCCTGCCCATTTCTCTGGCCAGCAGACTGTCATTTCCCCCTCCCGCACCTGGCCTGGCTACTCATATGGTTCCCCTGTGCACTAGACGGTAGCCTTGGGTCTCAGTCAGTACTGTGTGCAAAGCAGAGGAGGCACTCATGGATACCTGGAGGATGGACTCTTGGTATTTATTTTAATGCCCAAATTTGATGGATAGATATTCCAAGCCTTCTGGATTATTCAAGTTAGCCAGTGGCCCCCTGGTTTGGAGTAGTTTCTACACAAAGGAAAAATGAACAACATTGTACAATTTAGTCTCCCTTTTGGAAATGCTTCTGTTAGTCTACAGAACAAATTCTAGAGCTTTTAAATGTTTGGAAGAAAAATTCACTCTGATTAATTTACTCTTCACTATGGCTATATAATATTGATGAGTATTAGGATTTTCAAATAATTTTCTTCGTTCTTTGTCAAAATTTATATGTACAAATTCTGACTGACAATGTGCATACATACTGATAAACATAAGCCATAAATAGAAATAGAAAATTTCAAAGGGGATAAATAGTAAAAGAAAGAACAAGGTAGTAAACTGCTCCACAACCAACTCTGAGTAGGAGGCTCAGAGCCTGGAGTGGTACCCAGTATAGAAGAGGAATCTTTTTTATGTTAACATTTTGTTAAATAACTGAGTGAACATGTTGGATGGGCTCAACTTCTCAGGTAGGATCCTGGGGGCCGAGGGCAAACCTTCTAAAAGTGATGTTACGCTTCTGTCTGGAGTGTCATCATGGTGTGGGAAAAGATTTTGGGGGTCAAATAGCCCAGTGTTCAAGTCCTAACTCCAGCACTGGCTGAACTACCCCATGGTTTCAGGCCAGCTGCTCAACTCCCCGAGCCCATTTCCTAACCCGTAAAATGGAGAGAGCAAAGCCTGCAGTGAACATCACTGTAGATAATGATGAACAATGATGATAATAATTATGGCAGCTAGCTTTATCAAACACTCACCACGTAATCCTCTACAACCCTACGGTGTAGATATCATTAGTCAGCAGAAACTAAGCTACAGGATGCTCAGTAAAGTATGCCCCAGGTTACAGGATGAGAAGGCCAGCAGCCTGAGCTCTGAGCCCAGGCAGGCAGGCCCAAAATCCATCCTCTGAACCAGGTAGAGGATAGGATGTGCTTAGCACACACAGTGCTCAATAGGTGGTACTGTGGCCATCCCATTTTCAGGATATGAAGAACATGACACAGGGTCTTGTCATTGGATGTCTTTTCTTCCCACACATCTCCTGATAACAGTCACTACTTTGTGTAGAGAGAAAAATAAGTCCTGGTATGTCCAAGTCACTGGGAAGGAGTCAGTTCTATCGATGCTACCACATTATGTGCATCATCCAAACTTCTTGTGAATCACCTGGTTTACTTATTTTGGTTGATAATTTAGGAAATGAAATCCACAAATATCTAATAAGTACAAGATTCTAAGTGTGGTGAAATTAACATTGCATGGACTTCTTTGCTAGTTAAAGTTTATTTTTTAATGCCCAAATGCAGTTTTGCTGTACAAATAGGTTATTATATGTCTGGAAAATTAAAAATAATGTAGGCAATCTGGATAATGCTGGGTTCTATCTTATTTGGAAAGGGATGTGAAGTAAGACACAGATGAAAGACTGAGTGAGGCAAAGATGGTATGCACCAGAGTGGAGCAGGTATCTATTTGGAGTATATTTACTGAACCTCTACTCCATATAATATGCCCTTCAATATGAATGAATTAAAAAGAGCTTGTAAAAACTGCATGTTAAGTACAACTGTCTTTTATAACAATTTAAGATCTTTAACCTTAACCCTCCTGTTCAGATTGGAATGGATCAGTGCACCATTATTATTGTATTGAAGTAAGAAAATATGTACTTGAAAACAAAGATATGCAAGCAAAATCTAAAGTGTATGAACAGTTCAGATTCAGGAACAGCACTTTAATCTCACTTGGATCCAAATAAGATCTTTCTGGAGACTCACCTTCTGCCTTGATACCATCCAAGACTTGATTGTTGGCACCAACACACTTCCCAGAAGGATCTGAGCTGGGTGGTAGATGAGCAAGGGCACGGATATTAAAGAGAGATGCTCATGGCCTGCAAACACGATCTTCAGCATCGGAATTCCTGTTGAACAAAGAAGACAGGAAACCTAAAGCAAATTCAGTCTGTCATCAAATTAAAGACATACTCCATCAAAATCAGAACTTTGGAATAGGTTATTACCATATTTCCCCATGTTTATTCACAGAACTGAAATGGGAAAGTCTGAAAGGGTCACCAAAACTTTACATCTTCCTTTCACTACATAAAGTTCTAACTAGAATAAGGTGGAAAAATGGTCAGTATTCAAGGGTACCAATAATTCTCACTGCAAATTAGAAGCTTATCTAACAAGGAAAGGAGAGCAGACTGTGTGTGATGGAGTTTCTTTAAGAAGGCTGAAAAATATTGGTGAGGGAGATGCTAAAAATGGATCTCTTCTTGCTTAACAGTGAGATAGCCTGTTAGCCTTTAGGGAGAACTGCCTGGTACCAGTTCAAAGTCCCAAAGCTTGCGTTTGAGAGTAAAAAAATATGGTAAGATAATGTATGGTATACACTGCTATAAGTAGGAGGGTATTTTAGTCAACCGAACCTTAATGAAGGATTTGTATGTTCCCTTTTGGCCAAGGATCTTAAAGTGCTTTACAATCATTAGGTAAGGCTCATACAGATTGGTCTATGGAAGATGAATACAAAAATTAGCCAGGCGTGGTGGCACACGCCTGTAGTCTCAGCTACGTGGGAGGCCGAGGCAGAAGAATCGCTTGAACCTGGGAGGCAGAGGTTGCAGTGAGCCGAGATCACATCACTGCACTCCAGCCTAGGTGACAGAGTGAGACCCTGTCTCAAAATTAGGGCTGAATGTTTAAACTCCACAGTGAATGTCTTAATGGAACTCAAATGAATACTACTTCATGAGTCTACTATCCTATTATACCAAGGGCTAGGTGTGTATATTTTATAAGCTGCTGCCTATAGTGCATAACTTTTGAGCTTCTATAGCTAACACAATTCAGACACTAGCAGTCTAACTATTATTACTAATTGCTTTAATGCAGCCACGGTCTTCAGAAGTGCTATGTATGTATCAGCTTTTTCAACTGAATAGCTTTAATAGCCTAGCTTTCTTGTTTCTCTGATAACAGCCTCTGAAAAGGACCCAAGCTCCTAACCATGTACAATGATGGCACATAAATAACTTTTTATTAGAACACAACAAAGAAGGCTTAGCTTTTTCAATTATTTTTACCTTCTAATAAATTTCAAACCTTTATGCAAAAATGTATTTCATGGTTGCTTTCTTTTTCACAGCCTCACATATCATTGCCATAAACTGAAAACACTTAACTCTTCCCAAACATAGTCTCTGAGAGCTTCTAAAGTACATGCTTAGATTTTTTGCAGTTTCTGTCTTTATAGTAATATAAAAAACGAAGGGCCTTTTTTAAAAAAAATAAGCTTTAAAAATCTATTGCTGAAAAGCAGCATCTGATATTATAGTTTTGAAAAGCTGTTACAATGAGAAAATAAAATCTGAATACAACTTCTTCTGTTTCCAAGAAACATTATTCATTCCTTGGCCCAAAGAGGTGATGCTAAGACATTGGGGGATGGGAGTGGAGTAAATGTGAGGCTAAAGGGAGCAAGTGATAGAAGTATGATGATATTTTGTCCCTAAAAAGGACCAGAGCAGGACTTTCTGACCCCAGATTCGAGGACTGACGCCAGATATGAGGCTGCTGGGCTAAACCACCTATGTTGTCTATTCTTAGCTAAGAATCTGGGCTCTGTGTCATTCATTCATCAGCAAGCTTAAGTGATCTCAGAAGGGAAGCCATAGAGACAGTCCCAGATGCTGCTGCTACAATAAGTAAACAAAAATTTTGATGAGGAAACTGAAGCACCTAGTGGTCAGGGAAATTTCTCAGTGGTAGGTTCTAAACTGCGACTCAGGCAACCTGAATTTCCAGTTCCCTGTATTAGGTAAGGTCGGTTCCAGATGCCATGGGCACTGCAGCTGCTGTGAAAAGGGAGAGGGCCTGGCATGCAGAACACTTTCAAGTCTAGCCATCCTTTCGGAACTCATTCTCCTTGAAGACCTCTCAGAAGCACTTCCAGGGGCAGTGTGGTGTCAAACTCCTCTGCTCCCCACACCAGCACATCCCTGTGATTCCAAATGTGTCAAAAGCAACTGCTAGGGCTACCCCAATAGTGGCAAGGAAGCCATGATTCAAAGGCATAGCTTTGATCCTCAAGAAGCTTATGGTGGACAAATCATCTTTCCCTTCTTTGGACCCTAATGTCAAGTTTTAGGAAGTTCTCTTCCAGCCATTGCTGGTTCTTCAGCTCTTATCTCTCTCCCTCAAACACACCCTTCTGTCCACTGCTCTTGTGAGGAAGCTGGGACTCTTCAAACACCTGTCCTGGTCAGCTGCTCCTTGCAAGGGGCCCCAGAGGAAGGCTGGAGGAGGAGGAGGAATTTCTTTCCAGTCTGGGCTTCCTGCCAGGCTCCTTCACTGGCACAGGGGTACTTGGTTCCAGCCTATAACTCATCGTGCTCCTGAGGGCCACAGCACCAGCAGGGCAGTGCCCCTCCTCGGATGTCTGAGGACCCGCTCTGCTGCCTTTCTCCAAGCTTCTAGGTTCTGAGAATTCTAACTTCTTCCCCTTGTCCCCCAGCTCCAGCTACTTTCTGCATTTATTTGTCCTGTTCCCTCACTGTCGCCATTTCCCTTTTCAGCTTTCCAACACTACAATACAATTCCCTGTATTCCAAGGGTGATTTCTGCTTTGCTGACTGACCCTGGTTGCCCTTTTCTTACTCTGCCTTGTATGACAGTCATTCCCTTTGCTTGAAAAAGAGAAGGGATCCAAGATCACTTGCAGCTGAGGCAGAAATTTGTCAAATTAAATAGGAATTTCCCCCTATCATTTTATGTGCCTGCAATACCTTCTTGCTAGTCATTAATCAAATTTCCTATCTCTACCCCCACAAGTGAATAATGTTAAAAATATGTTTAAAATATATCAGAGAAAAAAATAGCTCCCAAAGGTCATGGTCCAAGTCTCTTTCATGTATCCTCTCTATGCCACTCTCACGTGGTGGATTCACAAGCCAGTCACTCGCCGGGGGGAGGCCCACTCCAGCGACTCGAGTCATATGTTACTTGTTTTAGAAAACTTTATTTTATTTCAGACAATGCATGTCTGAAAGATGTTAGAAGGCCCATATTGTAAATGGATTCTTTTTCTGACTAATTTCCAGCAAAAGCATCTCCTCCATTGCTCTGTGGACTTACAATTTTCCTTACTTTTCAATCATTCAATGATCTACTTTCCTTTTCAATTATTAGAGTTTCTTCTAAATCTATTTATCTCAACCTTTTCTTTCCTTACTTTCTTTCAACCTCTCCCCTGCTTCCCCTCCCTGCAATCCCAAGCATCTACTTGGTACATCTTCAGTTTCTCCAAGGTCAGAATAGAAAGAGAAGTTGGGATAAGCAGAGTGAGAGTTAACACTTTCCATGTTCGAGGTTCCATGCTATGGTGGCAATCATTTGGAAGTGGTGAACTCAATATCTCTTCTCTAAGGCATCTTTGCTGTTAGCAGCACTATCTGGACAACAACTGGAAACTTGGGGGTCATCTCAATTGTTGAGAGAGGTTGAGAACCTGCTAAAAGCCCCTGCACTTGCCACACTGTGATTTCTGTCAGCTGGCCAAGAATTCGGCAACATTTGCTCTTCATGTCAAATCAGAGAAAATCAGCTGCATCTCTTATTCCAGAAACCTATGTAATGCACCACTCTTTTGTCCTCATCACTCACTCGCTTACTAATTCACTTGCTTACTTATTCATTCAATTAGAACTCATGTAACTGATCAAGTACTCTGTAGAAGGGCTAGACATACTGGGAAGCAGGATTTGACCTAACCCTGCATTTCCATAACTTACTGGGCACATGGGTGACCACTCACACCTCCATTCCCCTCACCTTTGTTTAAGAGCACCTCTTCCACAGTCTCAAACCAGTCTCTCTGCCTTTAGAGTTGTCCTGTCCAAGCCATTTTCTACTCTGTGACCAGAGTGAACATTCTAAAGTGCAAATCTGATCGTGTCACATCACGCAGAAGTGTATCACACAGGAGATATCCCTAAACTGTGGCACAAGAGCATAAGAGGACTTCTTGACCTGCCCCAAACTTTTACTATTTTCACTCTAAATCTCACTACTTCTCTGCTCTTTTACCTGGGCGCTCCAGCCATGATGGGCACCTTGTGGTCCTCTCACCCATCCTTGGCCACGTGCCATTCTCTATCTTGCCCCTAGGCCTTTGCACCTGAGCTCCTTCTGCCTAGGATGCTCATCATCCATTCATGACCCACCCAACTCCTCTGTATCCTTTAGCCCTCAGTTCTTAGGTTGCCTCCTCTTGGAAGCCATCCTCAAAGTCCCAAGGTGGCCTTTAGATCCTTTCTACTCCATGCTGACCTATGCCAGGACATTCCAACCTCACCTTCACTACCCTTATTATCATTGCCTCCTTCTCGTGCATTTCCTTTACCAAGCTGTAAGCTTCTTAGGGTCAGCAATGGTTTCTTCTCATCATTGAGCATATGGTAGGTGGTCAAAAGGAGTGTGCTGAATGAATAAACTTGTATTTTTCCAGATTCTGTCATAAAGTTATTGTGCAGACTATCACTCCACTTTTACTACATTTGTTAATTAGAAAAAACAATAGTGATAATTAAAACACCCAAACAAACTTACTAGAAAGAGTTTTCCTTTTAAAGTAAAATTTAAATATAGGACTCTTTTCATCTTCCTATCACTGCAGTAATATAAATGAAGCAAATTAATTTTAATGCTCCCAGGTACTGATTCTGTGTCACCATGGTTGACAGGATTCAACTAGACTTTATGAGATGGCATTTGACTTTATGGAAGTGAACACTATGCACGCATTTACAATTTTACAGGGACTTTAAGCTGTCATGCTGAAAAATGTTTATAAAACATTAATCAAAAAATGCCTCTTTAATACAATGCATTGTCTGAAAGATGTTAGAAGGCACATATT